GTAGCATGGAAACCAATACATAGGTGTCATCATGTGATTTTGTATTTACATGTTTTTCCTACATACAATAGCACATGAAAAACAGAATATATTTTAAAATGTTTCTAATGTAAATCCAGTCCTTTCATTCTTGAAATCACACCCAATCTATGTCTGCTTCACTAGTCATCTGCCTTTGGTGCTATTTGTCCCACACATCACCATATTGATTCTTTTCTCGGTTCCAAGCTGCTGGAGGACGTGGAGTTGTATCTGGGGCAGGTTCTCTTGGTTGGATTACAGTGGGAACATCTTCAGGGCTTATGCCACCTCTATAACAATAAAGTGATACCACATAACAATGTCATGTCAAATATATTATTACATAACAACATAAAATTATGAAGCACAATTCTTCTGCACAAACTTAATGCCTTTTCATGAAATGCTTTCCTGGTGGAACTTGCACATAATTGTTCTCTGTCCATCCATTACCAAACAACAATCTCAGAAATCCTGTATTTCTTTAATTCTACATAATTATCAGCCTCTTCTGTGCACATGATAACCATTAATTTGAAAACTACATCATAAACTGTTCACAAGACAGAAGGTACCCGTGTATTATATACCATCCATAGTGATGTCACATTATTTGCCAAACTCTTGTCATCTGATAATAGGAACAATCATTGTAATGAATATAATTCTTAAAATGAATAACATCAATCTCATACAAGCACTCAACACTAGCAATGAAAAGTGTTCCTGTGAACACTTTAAACCTTCAGGAAATTTCTTGACAAGCGCAGGTTCCTGTGAACATGGTATAAACCTTCAGGAAATTTCTTGACAAGCTGAGTGACTACCAGTTTCTCAAGAAGAGTATTGCTCCACAGAGTTAGTTTACATTATAAAACCATACCTTACATCATTTCACAGCAATGACTACAGTGGATCAGTATGCGTCCACAAATACCTGATGTTTGTTCACTTATACTTCCAAAGTGCTTATCAAACACAAACTGATATTTGGCAACTGTGACTATTTAAACACAGTTTTAATACATTCACGCCAGGAACTCAGAAAGAGGTACCATACACAAACTTACTATGAAAAACATTATACACACCTGAACTGCTTGGTTTTCTTTTGTACATACTCTTCCCTATTCTTCCTACGTAACTCCTCATATGTCGCTGAGTGAGACTGCACTCCTGCTGGGAGGCCTTCACCTTCAAGTACAGGAGCTGCAAGATAAATTGAACTAACCAACTGCCTACAAGTAAGTGTAAGTGTCAAATTTCTTCACTAAGGAGCTCATGATGTCTAAAAGTGACACTTTTTCAGTCACTTCATTATAACACAGTTACCAATAGAAGTCTCAAAATATGAATTCACCATTTCTTCTGCAATGCAAAACACAGAAAAACAAATAAAACTACACAAACCTTCAGATTATTTTAAATAAAACTACAGTATACTGTCTGAGCTTTATAAAAATAGAGAAATTATCTCTCCTTATAAATTACCTGAACAGAACACCTATTCTGAGACACAAGCAACTGGTTCATTCACATAGTTACAATTACAGTTTGGCTTTAGATAAATTTATGTCCATGTTTTGTGTTTCAATGACAAAGAACATCCCTTCATTGTCTTCCTGACACGTCTGTGAGCAAACTATGTAATTTTGTTCACTTGTTAGTTCAATGGTTAATTTTGGAAGTACTGGTGTCTGAAATAACATCCGTTTTATACAATTCATCAAACTGCAGCAAGCTGACCAACTACAAAACACTGAAACTACAATCCAGTAATCTATGTGCATTTCTGGTGGCCAAATTAGTGAAAACTTAGCTTCCTGAACAAAACGTTCCATAGGTCCACAGCTGTTCATCTGCTCAAAAGAACTCTCTATTTTAATAGTATCCAAGACTCAACACTGTTAATAATAGCTCAAGCAGCACACATCTGAAAGCTGCTTAGTGTATAAAACACTCCAGTCCCTAATTTCTCTTTCTTCAAGCTAAATTATTTGAGGCTATTAGACAAATAATGAAACAGACACAGAAGAGAAAAACTCCCTGAACTAAGAGAACAGAAGATATATAAACCACAAACAAATTTATCACATTCAGAAACAGAAGATGAAAGATATGTAAAACAAATATAAAAGTACAGACCAAAAGTGAGACACAGTTAAAAAATACTCTAAAGAAATGGACAGATCAATATAGAGATTTGGAACCACAACAGGTCAAGACACCTAGACTTCTTTTACACTTGTTATCAAACAGTCTCAATGAATATTCCATACTCAGAGCGACGTACCAAGTTTCGCATCCATGCAAAATAACATGTTTTACTTACTTTGATACACAGTTTCCTGGAAAGAGGACAAGACGATCCAAACACTGCATTCAAGTGGTTAGTACTCTTGCTTCATATTTTGGAGCTCCCAGGTTAAAATCACATCCCAGAGACTGGCTACCCTGACAGGTATTTCTGTGGTTTACCTCAGTCCCTCCAAGCAAATGCCATAGTAGTCCTTAAATTATGTCATTACCACTTCCTTCCATATCCTTCCCAATTCATTAATCACTCTATCATTTGATGTTAGGTAGTCTAAGCTACTGAGAGTATCATTAAACAAACCACATTTAAATAGAAAAATAAAAAAATGGTCTTGAACAGAATAGCAGCTTGCATTTACTGAGTCAATTCTGCACTCAGTTCATAATGAATACCATTTTTAGCATATTTTCTTTTAATTTACTGAGTCAATTCTGCACTCAATTCATAACGAATACCATTTTTAGCATATTTTCTTTTCTTTATGAGAAAATACAGGTCTATGCTATCAAGTCCAGTCCCCAAACAAATTTGTAACCAACTGATATTTTCATGATACTCTGTACAAACATCATGCCACTAGAGGCCACTTTGCCTTTATACTTCTTTATTTCCTACCATCAATAATATCAACATGGCAGGAACACAAACTTCTGAAGAGGGAACAACCCTAACATCACTTAATGCAGATACAGAGAATTTGGTCTGGTAAGAGATTAGAAGAACATGCAGATTTTGTTAATGCAGTTTATAAGTTCTTTTCATAGCTTCTTATCCCTTTTTAACACTGTGCAAAATACCTACACTGAGACAACACAAAAGCTGTACATAGAATTAGTGGACATGATAAATAATTTAAAAGTTCTAATAAATATCATAGACTGTCTGCTAGAGCTATTCACTTAAGACTTCTTGATATAGCAACAAAGAGATACTCACAATCCACAGCAGGTCGCTGAATATCATCCAGACCCTTCTGATAAGGCCGGTCCATGTCAATTTCATGATGAGGACCAACATCCGAATAAGTCTCAACTTCACCAAAAGGAGGCAGAGACAGGCTTGGATCCATCATCATTCTGAGAACAAACACGAACTATATCACTGTACAGATGCCACAAGCAAAAGTGTAATTTTATAATTTAGATGATGGATAAGTCCAAGAGAACAATTTTATATATCATCATCAGAAACTTTCATCAATATGAAAACTGTAGCCACAAAAGTCTCTAATTTACAAGGAACTTTGATGTGATCATCACTGATTATCATGGTGATTAATTTGTCATCAATGTTTTGGTAGGACAGACTTCAGGATATCTTCAGTTGACTCCCTTCCCATTTCAAATGCTTCAAGCTGAAATTCGTTTTGTACCAAACAGGCAGATGCAACCACTATACAGACATTGGACAAATGATCACACATCTTCTTCAGAGATTTGCCTACGGCCATAAGAAAACGCAAATGTTCAAATTTTGTTGAATTCAAAAAGTGTGTCATCACTTTGAATATAGTTCAGCCGCTCAGTGGGTGCAGTACAGTAACTATGTATAACACGTCGCACACATCAGCTGCTTAGCACTTTCATACCAAGGATCAACCACATATTATGATATAACAGGTTTTGGTATTTAATGATAAAAACAGAAATGTTTATTTAATTGTTAATGAAAAGGGGAAGCCCTGATTAACCAAAGTGGTCTAAAAGTAAGACTTAAATTTTATATTTCAGTGATAGTTCCAACACTACTGTATCAAACCAAAAGGTTCAACATCACTAATGCCAAAGCTCATCAGTGGACATGATCCTGAGCTAGTCCATCCTCCTACTATCCAGTGCTCTGACTACGATTCAAATTGGGTACTTTCCATACACAAGTCTGCTGTGTAAAAGACATGTCATGACCAAAATACTATACTGATACTTACGTTTCCTGGAATCTCCCCTTCAATTTTTTCTGGCGAAGTACTTCCCCTAGGTGACTGTTAGGCAGGCGCATTAGCATTTCAGCACATTTTGATTGGTAGGAAAATTTACCTAAGAAGTAGCCCACTACGACTGCAACAGTAATTTTTGGACCTGCACCCCAGCGGGCATGTGGCTTCAGGTAGCCTACAACAAAGTAACCAAATTGATTCCAATGTATTTAACACTGCTGTATATAATCCATAATTTTACTCTTGAAAAAGGAATAGTAATACAATGCTAATTTTCTACCACCAACAGGTTCACATATTTAGCTACTTAATAATTCCTTTTGACACATTTGATGATTAATTATTTATAGTTATTAATCAATTAAAATTCAATATGGCCTGTTTGATTTAAGTGGGAACTCTCCTTTCGTAAAGATTAATATGGTATTACAACACAGCCCAAACAAAACACATGTGTTGTTATTTAACATCCAATGCCAGGCATTTAACTTCAGGCAAACAGAACATGTGGCAAAAATGGGTTGCATGACTTTTCAAACACCTGTATGAAAAATGATTTGAGAAGATGATCATGCACGCAAGTTGGTAAGAATTTGGAAGGTGATAGTCATGATCTGTTTTCATACTATTCTGGCATTTCTGTAGATACTGAAGAAAATCACTAAACCTGAGAAAGAATGGGCAGTAACACACATCAAACTTTAATTGTGCACATCCTAAATATGGGTCTAGAACAGGGGTGACCAACCCGCGGCCCGCGGGCCGCATGTGGCCCGCCTTGAACATTTTTCCGGCCCGCGAGATTCATCACACTTTTACAAAATATATTTATTTTATAATGGCCAAAGTACTGCTCAGCATATTTAGATGGACTGTGATACCTCACCCTGCATTAACTAACTTACAAATGTGGAACTGTTCACATTTCAGAAATATAAAAAAAAGAGTTGCTATTAAAGATAGAAGCAGTTACATAAATGGCAGTGTTCAGTATTTGTGTACCTATCCTCTGTATCTGACAGACTACAAATTACCAAGGAGCATTTTCAACTACAGAGTTCAAGAATGTAGGATTTAGGAAGACCACAAATGAGATCAGTTTGTGTAACCTCATAACAGGTCTAATAAGGGAAAAAGAAATCTACCTCTGTATTTCACCAATGAAACAAGAAATGATGGAAAGCATTTCAATAAACCCACCTGACTGAACTCCATAATAAGTTCCAATACCCAGGATGCTTGCAAATGGGATGCAACGCTGGTAAAAACTATCCCGATTGCACTTTCTTAATACTCGCTGCTCCTCATTCGTAAAGCGATATGGCTGGAAAAGGATATCAAATTATAGATCTAATATGACATAGATAAAATTTGTGCGGTATACATTTAGAAGGGCACTGTCTCACTGACAGTGTTGGTCTTCTCGGTAGTAATGCCATATAGCCTTGTGGATGGATACCAGTGTTTCAGAGAAACATGCTACCTCCATCTTCAGTCTACAAAATGTTATTACCCAGAAGACCAGCATCAACATCTTCAATATTTCATTCTTGTGGTATCTCATATCTGTGCTGCAACTACTGAATAATTTTATGTTACTGTACAACATCTATAACATCCAAATATTTTCCATTTTATTAGAAAGAAAAATAAAATATTTTTTCTTCATTCCAGTAACTGAGAGGGTATAGAAAAATATGCAAGTTTTGTCACCTAATATTGTTATAGTGATCAAACCAAGAACAGTGGGACAGACAGAACATGCAGCATCTTCTTCTATGGCTCTCCGGTCCATATTAATATTCATAACTTTATGTGAGTTGGCTCTATTCCTAAAAGATCATATTTATCAAACAGGTACATATCTACAAGGCCACAAAATGTCACAACCCAGAAGACCCACAGTGACATGTTAACCACAATAAGAACTTCAAATTTCACAATGCCCAATATAATATTAGCATAATTAAACCATAATTGTCACAAACCTTTGAGAATCACTAAATGCAGTATGTATTTGGGAAACAAAAAAGCACATTGTATACGTGAAATGGACAACTAATTTAAACGTAACTTTACTTTAAAAATTATGATTTGAGAAACCGGTATTCACAAAATGTCAGTTCATGGGTTTCCTGTAATATACCCCCGCCTTGTAAAATCATTCTTATTAAAACTGTAATAGAATACATTCCCTGCTTATTCTGAAGGGAGACTTCAACTTCCATATCATCTAGCACATAACCTTATGTAATTTCTACCGTTGGTGGTATTTCCTGAGGTCCATAACTGGGCTGTGCTGAAGGTGATCCACGGTTCGGAGCTTCTAGCCCCGGATTGCTGTCCATACCTGATGGGGTGTTTATTATACCGCAACCAATAACCTATAACACAATGTAGCCATCATTTACGAACACCGATTAGAATGAGTTTAGAAACAACGATAAAAAGCAATACCAACCATCGACCGACATAGTCGACCTCTCTTTAACTTAATGTCGATATCTGAGTAGTTCATCTCTGGTGGGCCCAGTAACCATAGATAATAACGAACTGTAAATGTTGCCGCGCAGGTTGTAATCTACAGCACAAACGTTTTTAAGAAAAGGGAGGCGCTATAGTCTTGTAGGTGTTTACCAGGGTTCGGGGGAGAATGTATTACTTCCATCCTAACACTCTACAGTCCAAAAGACTACACACTAAGCTGTAATTGTTGCAAAAACTTTTAATTTCATTTAATCATATATGTCCAAAAAAATTCTTTCTGGAACTATCAAAGCACATCACTGGTCAAGCTAATCTGACACTATCTTGTTGAAACCAGACCATGTTCATGTCAGCAAATTATAATATTAACAGGCCACAGATAACTTACAGCATTGTAAGTAAAACAGGAACAAATACAACATTCTATTTCTGGATGTTCTGCACTAAGTTTTACTTTTCAGTGAATATAATGGAAAGGTAAATGCAGCCTAAAAAATTGGCAGTGGAATCACGGTTCCGGAGAATCTGACGTAAATACGTCTTTGTATTTAAATTATATTTAGGCAATAAATACAATGAAAGGAAGTTTATATATTAGCTTGATAACTAGCAATAATTGCTTCTTGCGATTTCTATATTCCCTCATACGTTCAGCATTAGTTTTTGGTATTTTTTTGGGAACTTCTATTTTTTACGTTTTCTGTACTGTCTGATGTATTCTGCATTACGGACTCTTTTAGCTTCAAAAGAAGACAAGCCTGATTCTCTTACACGAGTTCACAAATGCAGATGAAAACATTAAATGTGATGAATAATAATAATAAATAGGAATCCCTTACCTCAAACTTTGTTCAATTGTAAGAGAACACGATGTCAACCCGCAATGACCAATTTTATCAAAACTAAAATGGAGAGAGTGGAGGGCAGTATCACAGATTTCTTAGTAATTCTTATATAAGAAAAGTAATTGTGATATTCTAAAACGTTTTTAACAGCACAATATTATCTACTCTACGACGCACTTCTTCTACAAGCGATTCACAGCCAGCTCTTTCCGCAATGACGAAAGCGGATTGTTGACGGCAGTAATGAAACACAACGCCAAATAAACAATTAGTTTCTTAGGTAAATGGGTAAAGCATTGTTATGCACGCAGGAGTTCATATAAAAGATGACCATTGTCGGTCCATATTTACACATTGTTGGTATGATCTTCGTAACGCTGTTTTTGCCGAATGACCCTTCCGTAATCTACTAATGTCCCTTTATTCCCGGTATGTTGATGTGTCGTGTAATTTCTTATTTTCAACATTATCATCACACATTTTATAAACCTTTCTAAACTGTCTTGTTGATTTCTCATAAGTACAGAGCACCATGATGTTATTTAGATTGGAACAGCATTATAACTGTCTTCTAGAATGGAAGGGCTACATGGATACATGAAGGAATGAACAGTCAATGCTTCCTATATTAAGTCATGTAATTCACACATTCTCATATACATATTGAACTTCATTATGAAAATTATTGGAATGCCTGAATATGAGGCTTCAGTACTACACAATAAATACAACTCAGGACAGTTATGTAACTATGATAGTGTTTTATATATCCCTCCATTGTCGCAGGAGCCGAGATTTCTTATTTTAATCATATTCAGGTCTCTCACATATACTTATAATCTTTAATAAATGGAAAGGGGTCTGCCATATGTGCATACCTTCATACTTCCATATCTTTTTTTATCATTGCACTTTATACATCTGAAATGCTGGTACATCTGTCCATCTGCACTTCACGTTTTAATGGTCATTTCATAATTTTGCCATTACAACTTTCTGGCAAATTGTACAAACATATTAGGTACATTATTTCTGTAACTCAACTGAGTATGGTCATAACATTATGAATGCATGTAATAATCTATAAGAGTTGAGAATGCTGCAAACCCTGCAGCACCAAATATACCAGCCTTGATTCCAGCTGCAACACATAGTACATATAAAGAAATGTGAAATATGCAAGTTATGAATTTTCAACATTTTCACACAAGCTGGTATCAGCTGATTATATTAAGCCCATCCTTACTTTTAGAAATCATTAGGAAATATAAGAATATTTGTGAAATTGTAATTTGTATATCCTAAAAAAAAATTATCATTGATAAAATGCTTTGGCCAGTGAAGAAACAGAAATCCTAAAAAAAATTATCATTGACAAAATGCTTTGGCCAGTGAAGAAACAGATTATCACACCTACATTAAAAATAAACATTTCACCTGTTCAGCTTGTTGACTTATATTCCTTACAGTTGTCACTAAACATTCCCGACAAGGCTCAAACAGGTAATACACTCATCAGGCATGATCTAAAGATATTAACTTACTTTACTGGATAATTCACACACTGATTTATTCACTATAAATGAAGAAAATAAATTCCTACAAATTTCCTTCACACCATTCTTAAGATGTCAAATGGAACAAGGCATAAAATCTGAAGCAAGAGGATTGGTATAACAACCTTAAAACACACGATAATATGGATAGCTGAGTGAAAATCATTCTATCACATGGTCTGTGGTGTGACCTGGCACTTTACATCTAATAATTCTTCACACGATAAAGGTTAGAGAGACTAAGTATATTATTGTTTTGCCTCTGGTTGCTTTCTCTAGATATCAACCATGGAATAACCTCCCAGAATTTACTAAAATTAAATAGCATGCCTCTGTTCCAAGGCCATTCCACTACAGAAATAAACATTAAACTCCATACACACATGCACACCCTTGCAAGATTTAAACTGTCAATCTAAGATTACCTCTTAATCCTATGATACCTCCAGTAACACCCCCAGCATAGGTCCCATTACGCCAGTCTGACTTCCCTCGATACTGAAATAAAAAATGAACATAATAATGTGCAATCTGTAGCACAACTGCAAGTATACAATAAAGATTCCTATATTATAAGGGTGTCCCGTGCCGTAGCCGCGCAGTCTGAGGAGGGTGTCCCGCGCCATAGCCGCGCAGTCTGAGGCATCATGCTTTGGACCAGTGATACGGAATGCGCACTGGTTCGAGTCTCAGGGGAGAAGAAATTTTCTCATGAGCTTTCAACCGGTGTATGGGACCGGTGCCAGCCCAACATCGTGAGGAAATTGGGGAGCTACAATGAGTAGCGTAATCCGGTCAGGAAAGCTAGCAATGGCTCGGGGTTCATCGTGCTGACCACACGTCACTCTATATCTGGTTGGATGATCGTTCACCTCCGCTTAGGCATGTAAACGTGAGGCCAGCAGTCAAGTTATTAATTAAGTAAATTCTAATATTTATTACTGTTAATTTTCACACACCAGTATTTTCAGAAAAATGTGTTCCTTTGGTTTTCATGATGTAAATTTCTGTAGTACTATGGGTAAAAATTAAATAAAGTTCTGTACTTTCACTAAATTGAATTTGTTTTTATACATACTTCTGAAATAACTGTGTACCATACAGCAGAGGTTACACTATATTTAATGATGTAGAAGGACAAAATAATTTATAACCCTATGCATTATAATACCTATACTATGAATAGCTTGGTCAAGAACAGAATTATATTAGTGAAATATAATGATCATGACCAATGAGATATGGAGAATCAAAAAGAAATTATAAGGCCAGCAGGTCCCTAGTAAATTTTCAGACTGGAAATTAGTTGGATTGATCACTTGACAATGGAAGGAGTTTTCTAGGGTTATGAATAACTTTGGATATCGCATACAAAACATATCAGAAATGCATGGGTGACAAATGGTCTTCCAAGTTTTTATACATGAACATCATTACTTAGCACTTAACTCGGGCAAGAAACTAATGGGAGAACTAACCGACTCAATAGTACATTCCACTGCTGAAAACACAGCACCAACTAGTGCAAAATTCTTGGCATAGCTAACCATAGTTCCCTTCATGTCTCTTAGTACTTCCCTTGCTGAAGGTTGTTTTGTGTCTCCAACAGGGACAGATGGATTGACACTAGCTGAAAACAGACCAATGGCAGCTCCCAAGCCATAACCTGAAAATGATGTACACAATTCTCACCAGCAGTTTTCAAATAAAAGTGTCTCACTTCACCTCACTTCTCCTTTGCAATAACTCATTATTCAGAAAAAAACTACCAAGTTACTTTGCATTTTTTGTCTTCATAATAATATGGTGACTCCTGTGAGCATGACTGTTCACTATTCACAGACCAGTAACTGTAGTTATACCAATGAATCTAGAACAATTTTTTCTCTCAAAACAGTTTTATAATTCTCCAATAAACACAGATTCTGTAACAATTTAGATTAAGCTACTTTAGATTAATGATTTATATCACATTTCTGTCTAGTTGATAGGCATAACATACCAGCTGACACACATATATGCTGGTAGATGACATAATAATATGTGATATACAGGCTCAACATGCACCTTAAAAATTTTCATCAATTTTATAACTTACCTAAAACACAACTCATAACCGTTTTAAATGCACAGCTTTCAAATGCTGCTTCAACCATTTTTTCCTCTTTTGTCTTGATTTTAACAGGCCCCATCATTCTTGGTATTATAATATTTTCCCTGTACCGTGTACTGTTTCCTATCAAATGACGAGCTAACCTATCCCACTCTTCATTCGTAAAGAAAACTCTTTTATCATCTGCTTGCCGGTCCATTGTTTAGGGTCACATAAACAGCCTATAGTGAAAAAGAAAAATGTATGTAAAAGTAACAGAAACAATGATATTAAAGTCAAGAGACATGAGCAGTACACCGGGATGCTATACTACCTTCAGGTATTTCAATTTACAAACTATCCGAAACTATGAAGTCAAAACATAATATATACTTTGAATCTTCTAAAATTTGTATGATGGAAAAATAACAGTCGTCTGCACTTTGGAAATCCGTAGTTTTTATTCCGGTTCCTTAAGCATTCCGTGGCGAGGCCTGATTACATATAAAACGCCCTACACTTGATTATCTGTGAAACTGCAGCCTAGGATTACCATAATTATTCTGCATGCATGAGCATACAATATGGATGTACAGAATTGTGCAAAACTCAGGACACATTGTACATCCCTCGAATGCAATGATTTTGTTCGTAATCTCCATGAGTGCAAACAGGTTTTAAGTTGTTCCTGTAGTCACCGCCACCAAAGATAATCTACTGCAAATTAAAAAGTTGTTAAGTCATGTTAAGGATGTCGGATTTGAGGTTTCCATGGCGGTGTGTCTGAATATGGCTGTCTTCTGATTTGTTGCGCCGTGTAGTACGGTAAAGTTTAACGAAGTTTCAGAGGTCCTTGATGGAGGCAGCCATAAGGACATAAACTAACCCTATTCAAGAATTATGCACTATGTACGGCCCCCAGTGACCCAATTTTAATAAATTCTACATTCAAAATGCATATCAGTATCCACTGTTGTGTAAATTACTGTAATTAAATATGGCAAAACTGAAATGTTTTTGACAACTGAATGAATTTTTTTCAGTCAAATGAGTCTAGTTCTCAGGCATTAACATGATCGGTTCCAAAGGTGGCTGGAATGTATAGATGGTGAGAAGATGGAGGAAACTTGGTTTGTGTGCCAGACTTACTTAAAAAAACAAATGCTCAATATCACATTCTTTTCACAGTTCTTTTCATCATCTTTTCAATCTGACTTTATTTTTCATGAAATAATTAAGTTCTAAACAGTAAAATTAAGCTACAATACTCAAACTGGACATTACTTTCAATACATGATAAGTTTTGTATGTCTGCATGAAGAATAAATAAAACTGATTTTGTATTTCTATCTTTGGCTTTGTGTATTATTTTCCCATTTACTTGATGTATTAGGGTGAGCAATAAACACTTAACTGAGAGGAACACTTCTACAGCAGAAGTCCTGTACAAACTAGTAAAGAATTCATATTTAACTAATATCCCCTAATCACACAGCATGAAACAACTTTTTAAATAACTAATATTAAAATTACATTAAAATGTGAAAAACAACTGCAAAATTTGTACACAACAAACTTTCAAATCAGTTATTTGTATAATTTGAAATAAAGACACCAATAACCAATATGAAAGACAATACAAAATACACATATCTATTACCTCAACACTGCATTAATGCAGTTTGTTGCACAATATCAGTTCCAGTTACACCCCTCACAGATATGGAAGCATAATACTATACTGATAACAAACTGACTTTATAAATATGATCAAATGTAACTAACCTGCTGCAAATGCTAATGACCAACAATATTCAACACACTCAAATATTCTCTGGAAAATTCAACAACTAAAATTTCTAATAAAATTGGCAAGGCTTATACTGCATACTAATAGAAAAACTTATAACACATAGTAATAATAAAGCATGATCAAAGAAATTTGTCATACTTATGTCAATCTTTACACGGATGTTCAATGTGCCTCAATAACTGAACATGTAAATAACATTTAGATATCAAGTGTATTCACAGTATGCAAAAAGAAACGCCCAATAACCAATTATGATCATCCTCACACCTCATTCACTCCAACATTCTTGAAGTAAACTCCACAATATGTGAGAGCTGAAGTAAACAATACAACATGGAGGGTCGGTAAATGGAGTGGCTGTTACCAGAACAGAACCCATATGCAATACTTTCTTCATTTTACATATATTACAGGCAGGAATGATTTTGTATAGGCCCCTTGGTAAGGTACAGGCCTAAACAAAAGCTATTAAATGCAACAGTTAGTCATATGGTAAGAAAAATTATTTTTGGGTCATAATTGCCTTTCTTTATTTGAAATATCATAGGGTATGGTTGCATCTTGGGATGACGGTTTGAATAATTCTGACCAAGATGTGTTATGTGCTGTGGTAAGTTGTGTTTACAGACTAGTGGCATGGAAAGTGTTCAGTTCCTTGGTGAATAAAGGGTTTGCTTTTATTATAGCTTGAAGATGACTGTCTTCAGACTCACCACCAAGAAAACCTCAAATCCTAATTATTGCAACTTGTTTGTGCATATGCCACTGCTAGTTTAATGTTTTTAGAACAGGTAGTACAAAGAGTCACCACCACATGAACCACAGGAGGTATTGTTCACCTTGCCTCTCACATATTACAAAATGATGTATTCAGAAGACTACAAATTCATAGGTCAAATTTCCGTAACGTGCTATCAAACCCTAATGCCAAACTCAACTGCAACTGTACTGTACCATTAGCACCTTTTTTCTTTTAAATTTATCACAAACACTTTATAATATAGTAATATTAGTTATTCTACAAAATATAATTGTAATTCTTGCTCACAGCAATAACAGTAGGATGTATGCTTATTCTTATGCCACAACAATGAACAAATCAGACATAACTCTTGTTCTGTCCCACAGACAAAATGAGCTTTGGCTGTATGAAACAATTTCTAGTTTTTCATACAAAATTAAAGTATTATTTATAGGAAATTTTCCACCATTAAAGTTTATTCTTGCACAAACAATTTCACTTGAACCATAAATTTAAAGCAATATTCTCCTCACAAATATTCATGTATAGATTATTCAATTTGCAAATAATCCATGCATTTTCCCTCCCTCATTAAATTTTTATTTGTTGAAGTTATTGAAGGTTTATAAAACTGTGCATTGCCATATACAAAGGTGTTATTAGACCATGCATTCATCTCTCTGTGAATAATTCCATTACATTTTTACTAGCCTGTTTTTATGGTGTTCTTCATATGATCTATTGTTGGGGAATTTAATTAGATACAGGGGAAGATAAAGACCAAAATCTAATCACCAGTACCAGTACTACAGTACTTATGATCACTAAACTTATGGTTGTGACAATATGGTGAAATATTCATAATGCAATGTGTATGAGTTGGGGTAAAAAAGGGGATTATTCATAGTTTCTTTCACATACATTAGCCCATATAATGAAGAAAATACTTCCTTGTAATAATACAGCATAAAAATGTGCAATATGACAATGGTCACACATCTTTGTGTTTTTAAAAGTATATTTCTACAATTGCAAACCCATACTGTTTTGTATCAAACAAACAAGAGAAATACAATAAAAAATTAACTTGATACAGCTAGTGGTCAGCTGTAATACTGACTGCCATGAACAAAGGCAGGTGGCAGAGAGAGAGAGAGAGACATATATACAAATGGCATCTGCTTCACACTTCAAGTAACTGAATATTTTATACACCAACTCTCTGAAGCTGACTGGCTCATAACAGCACAAGGCAGTAGACATGCATAAGCATCCAAAACTTAGCCGCCATTGTTCATACTGGTCACTCTTCATACACAACAAGGAAGACTTACACATTTATTGCAGTGTTTAGCCCATTCCTTTACTTAATACTTCACAAGTCTGAATGAAAATTCAAACTACAGGTAAAGATCACTGAAAGTTTTGGAAACAAGAAAAGACTTAGTAAGATGAGGCAGTATTATTGATTTACATTAAGACAAGATTGGGGTGGAGTTCTCTTTGAACATTCCAAAGGTGTTTTCCATGTCACATCATGTACAACATGCTGCACTCTCATCCAAGGTCAATGTTGTGCAACAATATTTCAACACTGATCTCAGTTCCCATTGTTGCACAACATTCCAACAATTATCTTAGGCCATTGCTTTACTAACCTAATCTGAGCTCATTGTTGTGCAAGTGTTTTTCAACAATTGGCCATTTCCATTGCTTGGTTTCAACAATTTCACAACAATGACCCCCGGTCATGCAGGTTGGATAGTTCAAAGTAAAATGTGACAAGACAGAAATTTCATAGGAAAAGTGTGACAGAGATACATCAATAGACCTGTAAAATTCACTTAGTTCACACCAAAGCATGAAAAACACCTAATAATACAACACACAGTGTAAAAATTTGGGGTGCATTGTCTTTCCACATTGATCCTCTTACCATGCAAAATCTGCTTGTATGCAGAGAAATTCATTGCTGTAGATGATGGTTGAATTATACACATGGATTAAAATCATAATGTTAACAATATAAAGTATAACATTAGTGCTTACAACTTAAGCCTAACACTTCCTTCTTCAAACTAATTTTATGAACTGCGCATGAAAATATACTTTCACTCCTTTAAGTAAAGTTGTAGTGCATGTTGTCCAAAGTGGACCAAATCATTTAATACATTTTTGTAACAACTTTTAAATAATAAATTACAATAACAACATTTCTTCAAAATCATAATTATTTTAAAGGGGATGCTCAGATTATGACAATAATATACCATAGGAATAATAACTTTTATATATATGATTAAACATTCTGGCAGAACACCTGGCATGTAAAGTGAATCAGCTCTATTCATCCCTAAATGAACATCATTAAGAATAACTATAAACTGTAGAATTTGGGGATGTTAACCCTTTGAAGCCAAAGCTCATCTAATAAACACTCAAGAATTCAGCCTGTACCACAAATAAAACATAACAATTCACTATTACAAAGATCAGCTGGTTAACGCTGCTTAGTTTACAGTGGGGATCATATGAAACATACAAATACAAAATGCAAAGTTGCTGATTGTTACAAAGGTGGTACATATAGTTCCCACTGGGCTTTAAAATGGTTAAATGTTCTGATGTGTAATTACCATGCAGTGTTCAAGGGATCAGTTATCAAAATAAGCTTCCAGACCATGTGTGACCATTCATGAAATCTGTATCAACATTGTTCTTAAACTTTTCAATGGAGCATTTATGGACTTGGACAACAAATTAACTTCACTTTCTGCTACAATTCAATTGCTACAACAAAAAGCAAAGTATAAAAAGATTTGAGTGGAACAAATTCTGAATAAAGTTGCTAAATTTTGGTATCATCTAACTTGCCAGAAGACCCTTCAGGAATGCAGCCTAATTAGAATCACCAACTAAATACCCCAAAGAATATGATTCACACTGGATCCATCCTACACACACGATTGTCACGTATCTTTCTTCAGTTTTTCATTCCAAGATTTTAACATAATATTTTCCACCTGTGTTGTGACATATTTTTCATACATTAACTTAGATGTTACACCTTACATATATTACAAACAGGCACTCTGAACAAGACTAATGGACTTAAACCCCACAATTATCAAATTTTGTTCTTCTGCCTTTCAAAGATGGGCTACAAATGTGTTGTTTGTTGTCCAATGTTCGCTGAAATTAAACCCTTCAATAGTATTTTACTTGTGCTTTATATAATGAAAAAGCCATTTCTGAAAATGTAATTATAAATTATATTTAATTGGCTTATAATTATGATGTGTGACTCTTCTATTTAGTTTGTTTTCTCTTAGAGGAAAAGATGTCAGTCAGCTGTTAAGCATTATTAATCCATTTGTCAGAATTAAGTATCCATGCATCCATCACATTATTTCCTTTATCTTTATAACTTTTTATTTTTGAAGATTGCAGTCTTCTAGGTTATTGTGCTGTGTAGTCTGGTAGATTTCCAGCCTACCAGACTACATGGTGCAATAACCCAGAAGACTGCAATCTTCAGACTCACTGCTGTGAAAACCTTAAATCCTACATTTTTTTTATTTTTCCTGTAGAAAAACAATATTACAAGACTCCATGTTTGATACAGAACTTTTATACCCATTATGCATCACATGCTTTTTCTGCATGGTACAGTTGTTCTATTTATAACTGTAAAAAGTATAATATGGCTTTGGAATAAGAAGTTATAAAGATTTACATTTCAAACTCAATTTTTTCTTAATGGAAGAGGAAAGGGCTAAAGAATATTGCAATAAGCAGTTTCCCTGGACAAATGTAGTTCTCAAAAAGGATATATTACCATTCTGTATTCCATGTGTACACAATATCATACTAAATTTGAAACATCAGGTTACTCCCCATAACTCAGACATTCAATTTAAAATTATATAAAACAAAACTTCTAAATACAGTTAATTAATAACTTAAAGGTTTTTACATTAAAAAAACAAATAAACAAATGAAAGAAAAATCCACACAGATCCACAGAAATTGGGCTGCATGTAACTCATAAAAAAAGTCTGGACAAAGTTCAACTGTTCGAGTGCAAACAAATTCTGGAACTTCCCTCTAGATTTCACAAGTGATACAGGCTATGATGCAGTGCAGATAGTATTTACAATGTCAGCATTTTTGTTATATTGTGACCACAGCAATGCAGGATCAATATTTTAATGTTATAAACAGTTTGTCCAATAACCTGGTGATGTATATGTTCAGACCCTAGATTATTTATAAATTTTATTTTCATTCAGTATTTTGGCTGGCAGTTTAGTGATGCTGTACCAACTACAATGTTAAAACCATATCTAAATTTGAATTTGATCTATTTGTTGTATTTTATTGAGCACATTAGCATAACTGATATCAAGCAGATTGTCAGCAATATGGACTATTTAGAGTATGAGACAAAGGGAAGTTATGAACCAGTAATGTTATATGAACTTCATACAACTACTTCAACTGCTGTAAATCCCTATACCTGATATGAAACTTCCTATTTTCTACATTCCATAGAGAAAAATAATAATACAAAATTGTCAATTCTTTGTATCTGAAACTCCCCACATAAGCTTCTGAACTGTTAACCATGAATAATAAATATATCATTGACAGAGACATTGCTTGTGCAGATGAGCATCTATGAAAATATTCAGACACATACATCTTTAGATCTTTTCGCTCTGCAAACTACAGCATCCTAAATTACACTATGACAAAACATGTTAGCACTACACTGACAATGTAATGTGGTGTATGGATATATGTACTTCTAAAAACTGCTCCATATATCACCATGCCAATCCATTCAACATACCAATATTACAATGCACACCGTTCACTGTCCAACATATATTTGATGTTTCTGGACAGCCAACTACCAAAACTTTGTATCAAGCAAAGGACAGTACCCAATGCAACACTCAGACAATGAATCAATCACTGTGTAAAATCTTTACAAAATTTAGCTGTTGAATATTAAAACCAAAGTACAAGACTGAAAGCAGCCTACCACAGAGATAATGTTACATGTTGTCACTAAGTAACAGTGAAACATTGTATGTGAAGCAGTGATAAATGTTCAAATCACGCTTCATAATGTAAACCGACAAGTTCTTAAGAAAGCAGACTGCTTTTGGAATCTTGTGCTTCTCTATATGTTATTTCAGTTACTCCATTGTGATAAAGTGAACATACAGTAAGCCAACAACATAATTATGCACAACAAAATTCAAGTATGAAAGTACATTTAACTGTATTGTCTGACCTCTCACATACCCAACAAGTGTTGGACACTACTAATGGATTGTTTCTTCACACAATACAATGCATTTTTAATTAAGTTTATTAAGGCCTACAGCAACATAAAGTAACAAAGCAAGAAATTCAGGATATACTGTCTTTTCTTGACTCTCGTAACACCAACCAACCACATAAAAAATCATATCACTGTAATCACATTCAAAACATATGAATGTTTATTACTCATTGGAAACACTTTAACATACTGAAGTAAGATACAGATACACAACTTTTAAACAATTTGCGTATGCCCTTCCATTGCATTAAATGACAAACAAGATTTCTGTACAAGTATGGCAAGTGAGCTGCATTTTGGAATTTTAACCCATTCTACATCAATGACGGAATGTTTTGTCACAGCACTATGACATGTCAGTCCTATTAACAAATATTTTTTTCCATGATATGTTACTTTATAGCATAAACCAGTGGTGCCCAAACTTTTTCACTTCATGATGGACCTGGACATCACAGTGCTCTCTGCAGAACACTGAAAAACTGACCTATGTCATCACTCAAACCAAGAACAGCATTACTAATGGTATATATGATGTCAACATTATATTATGACCTGCACTTCTAAAGACAGGATGATAATCAAATTTCAGTTTGAGAAAAGCAGCCGTTACTCAGTTTCAGCAGTAGAACACCTCAGTCCAGCTCATAGAACACCAGTGTTCCACAGGAGCACAGTCTAGGATTCACCGAAATAAACACTGGAAAAAACTAGCATTCTGAGTTAAAATGGGCCACTAAATGAACAGTGGAAAAGTAAGTGTATTCCTACCATCAGGGCTCAAGTAGCAGTTTCTTTATCAGTAGTAGCTGCTTAACCATATATATGCATAATATAAAGCCAAAAACAGCTTCATTAGCAACAATGTTACTGAACAAAAACAATTTGGTTTCTATGCCCTCAATGTCAATTAAAAACATTAAATGATATTTATAAAAAATCAGAGTTCTTTATTAAACTAAGCGTTAATCAAATTTTGTCCATTGATTCTTTGAATGACTTTTCAGAGTTGAATCTGGAAACTCAACTAAATTTTCAAATAGATCTCTTGCAGCTGCTTCTGATGATGACATGGCTGGAGAAGAACTTGATAATGGTGCAGGAGGTGCAGGCCTCAATGACGGACCACCATTCTTAAAGCTTAAAGACTTGAAGTCTAGGCCATACTCTTTGAGAAGGTCCATGTCCTGAACATTATACTGTCCAGGGCTCAAGGCATTTGAAGAGGAACAGGGATGCAAAGCACTAAATGTCTGTCCCACACTGGAATCCTGAACTCTCTGTTCTGGCATTCTTTCAGAAACATTCAAACGTCTCTGGGACTTTGAGTACAGGAAACTTTGGTTACCTGCGTATGTTAACGATGATTTACCAACAGAAGGAACAAAATAAGGATAAAGGGGGTTAGCTAAACTATCTGCTGATGCAGTTGCTGCAGGCAATGTCTGACTGACAGACAGTGGTTTATCTTTGGAATAAAGGGGATCAAAATCTTCATCACTTGGAGTTGAATCCAATCTTATCAGATCTCCACTTTCTTTCTGTAACATAAACCGATAAAATATTGCATCAGTAAGAATATTTACATTATCCTGTTCTACTTTTTATTCCACACTACATATCTATCAGTTTACCCCTCAAAATAAAAATAAATAGTTTCCAAAACATTATAATTTTAAATACCTAAAGCTACAAAGTACATAAAAACCAAGAATCAATCTGTACCTCTATGTAAAATACCTTATATGCCAAATTTACAATGAAGAAGTGTGCATTATTCTGATCAAGAGGTAACTGTGACACTACTACTTGTCACTACACATAGCTAAATGGGCAATGAATCAGATATAAAGTCTATTCCTGTCTTCAGTAGTTGGCATTATATTGATACTTCTCCATTTACCGTATGAATAATATGAAATCCATAAATACAAAATGAGAGTTAATAACTGTTAAAGCAGCTGGTACAATTAGTGCCATTCGGCTTTGTTAAATAAATAAGACACATTTCCTTGTCAGCTGGATTTTGGGATTCTGACCTCTTACAGACAAGGATAATGTCTCTAACAAATTAAACAGGTAAGTAATGTATTTATATTTCTTCATATAAAAACAAATCAACTTGGTGATATTGTCAGAAACGCTTGTTTCATAACATGATGGCTATAGTTTTCACTTGTGGATATGCTATTGCCATGAGTGCAGTAAAGTCACCATCTGACCTTGAGCTACAATATGAGTATACCTCAGCAGTGTTACCAGTCATCAGTACTGCAAACATTTTTTTAATCACCCTTGTGTTTAACCAACCAGCAAACCCATGCTCTGATTTTAGAACACAAAGGTTGCTAATACCAAGTCTGACATTTGACCTAATCTCATAGTAAAAACATTCTGGTTCACATCCTCATAACCAACCTCCTTTTCTCCTTTCAACATTCCTTCCATCTTGTTCTTGATTTTCCAAGTAGTAGCTCTAAAAACTGGTTTTCCCAACAAAATTCAGAAAGCATTCCTTGGTTCCCTGCATCAATTTACATGCCCAGCAAACCAAAACCGACTTGATTTGACTACCTTAAGATGTTTTAATCACGTCATTCATAATCACTGAATAAGAACCTTCATTTTACTCCTAATGTCTTTTAGAGCCAAATATTTCCTTTAACAGTTCCATACACTTGTAATGTACATTCTTCTCACTGAAGAGATAAAGTGTTCACTACCATACAAACAATACAGCACAATACACATCCAAAGTCCAACATACAACAACCAAATCAAAATAAAAGACACATGCATGTCACTTCACAAGCCTGACAATGATTTCAGTTCCTTGCAATACATGATACACAATATTTACCTTACTACAATGTGACTGCACTGGAGGTGGTAACTTCACAAGGTCTATGGAGGAGGGGGAAGCCACTACAAACACTGGGTCTCCATCCACACTCCCACCACCACCCACAACAAATGGAGTTGAACCAAACAAGTCACAGCTATTACTGGAGGCAGGAATAGGAGAGGACATGGGAGCTCCAAGTCTAGGGGACTGTGATGGGGGTGACCACCAATTATCACTAGAATGCTTGAAGCTCTCTAAGCTGCGGACAGGTTTCAGCTGCAATAGTAAAGCCAAATCATCACATACAACAAAATGGTGTAAGTATAAAAATTGCTATTTTAAAGCAATTAACAATAAGTACACTCACAACACTGCGTTCTGTATACGCAGCCCTTTCTATAATGGCAAATAATAAGGAATTATATTTCTTGGTTGAAACACAGCAGGAAATTTTCAAACATTAATTTTGATCTACCATAGGACACACAATTTTCCTCTACATATATATGTCATATGTTAAAGATTACCAACCTAGAAAATACCCTGTCATAGTACACTTTAGGATTCTGAAGGATTATCTATAATGGCAAATAATAAGGAATTATATTTCTTGGTTGAAACACAGCAGGAAATTTTCAAACATTAATTTTGATCTACCATAGGACACACAATTTTCCTCTACATATATATGTCATATGTTAAAGATTACCAACCTAGAAAATACCCTGTCATAGTACACTTTAGGATTCTGAAGGATTATACCATATAAATTTTTTACTGCTAGATGTGTTTACAACTACCATATACATTTTTTACTGCTAGATGTGTTTACAACATCAACTTACAATTAATCAATTTTTGTGTGGTTATTTTCCTAACAAGTTACTCTGTACTGTTTATTATTTCTTATACATGTATCATCATACAAAAGGCTAAGATCCAAAACTATCAGCACTAGGCCCGCTCCCACCTCACAAATTAATACTGCCATTATGTTCATACTACAGAACATTTCACGCTTTCACAGTGGTTCAATGCTAATGTGAGTTGTTTTTGGGTGATGGTATTGCGTAGACAGGCTGCATTACCAGCAATACAGAGATGATTACTATCTTCATCTTTAACTCATAACTTTCATTTGAACTACAGTTCTGATGTATGCTGAATTCAACAGCTTCACAAATCACTGCTGGCATCATGAAGACCCTTTGGATATCAACTTTGCTGTTTACTTTAAAATGGTTATCCCATACGATATTTCAACCATAGACCAGCTCCCACCAAAGTAAACAAGAAGTATAAGCATCAGTAGGATACAGTAGGTAGACCCTTTACCTTGAAGATGAAGACAGCAATTACCTCTGAATCATCAGCAATAGAGACTTAACTATACATAGTGCCAACACCCACAAACATGATCTATATCAGCATATTCATATAGCTGAAGATAAGGCAATGAAGAGTACCAACACGGAGCGGCATCCAGCGCTATGGTATCGATAGAGTTTCACAAACATTCGGTTACAGTCAACAACATTCATGGCCATAACAAATTTACAGGACAGTGAATCAATGGACAGAGAAGAACCCTGTTCCTTCAGAACCCTATAAATCATGTCAGCTGAAGTAGTTTAAAACCAATATTTAATGAGTAATTCTCTTATTGAAAGTTAATTAAAAGACAGTCATCATCACAAAGGACATAAGATTCTCAACATGTAAGTAACTATGTTCCAAACCAAGCCTCCACATTTGTAAATTACAATTTCCCATCTGTCAATTACTAAAGTGCTCCTTAAGAAGCTCTTCTAATGCCAATCTAACAATTTTCCACAACCACCACCTTAACACACAAAAGCTACATCAGTGGTCCCCAACCTTTCTGTGCCTACGAGCACATTTGAGAGTTTATGAGATCATGGCGGGCACCAACCAATTAACAAAGCCAAATTTCCTTTTCTCTGGACAAATAAGATATGGACACCAAATAATACACAAAACAACACAATGTTTAATGATACAAGAAACCACGCAATCAAAAATACGTAGTTTTATAAGTACAATTATTATTACTCAAGTGGGAAGTTAGTGTGATGTTTGGCACTGCATTTCATCGGTCAGTTTTTCAAATTTGGGAGTGTAGGATAATGTTGCTGCTCGTAAACAATCGTCAAGATGGGTGTCAGTAAGTCGAGATCCGTGCTTTGATTTTATAATGTTCACGGTTGACGGCCTTCATTATTCAATATAACCTCTTTCCCCAAAAAAAAGCCTTGGCGGGCACTGTGTTGGGGACCACTGAGCTACATGCTTACAGATTCACGCTAACTTTTTAAAGGCCATACTTTGCAAGCACATCAGACAAATTCTTTTATGTTGAAAATACTGATACGTGTTGCATGTATCCTTATCTTGGTGGAGTCCTTTCAATGTTATGGGAAAAAAAAAATTGTGTTCTTTCATACTGGTACTGAACTTAAATATTCATACACATAACATAATGTGAGTGAATTTGGAGTTGGCACTAAGAACGAGACTGAACTAGCTGAAAATACATTTGGGGCTGGCATAGTAACACCTTTCATATGTAAGCATGTATCAATAATACATGTTATTAAAGTTCTAACTGTGTATATTTTTTATTTACAACTCACTGTTCTATCAACTGGTGGAGAATTAGTATCCTCTGTGTCCAGTACTGAAGAGCACTTCCTAAAAATTACATCCTGAAGGTCTCCCATCAAGTCCATATCAAGAGGAGACAGCTGTAGCCCTGCAGTATCACTGTGAGACATATCAATTAAAACTTCTGGTGAACCTGGATCTGAGGAAGGACTCAATGGATTGTAAGGCCTGGACCTGCAAACAACAAAACAGATGGACATGGCTGTCTCCTGGGCTGTTGTGCTGTGCAGTCTGGTACAAGTTTATTGACATAGGATTTGAGACTTTCGTGGCGAGTACAATCAATAAAATATTCTAGGGCAATCAGCTGCGTTAAATGGTTACTGTAGTAAACCGACGTTTCGGGAACAAACAGGCGGCTTCAAAGGATCCAGTCACATCAGAACCCTGAAGATGGGGACAGAGTTTGTTCCCGAAACGTCGGTTTACTACAGTAACCATTTAACACGGCTGATTGCCCGAGAAGATTTTATTGAAGTTTATTGACATTTCAGAGGTGGTAAATGCCGCCATTATCAGGGCAATGTATAGTCTGGCATGTACTTCAACACAATGAAGAACACAGATTATTACAAGTTTAACCTCAATAATGGTTACTAGAAGTAACATAATTTTGTAGCTTTCCTAAGTCAAATCACTAAGCTTTTATTTTTATGGGGATAAGAGTCATGTTAGCATTCAAATAAGTAGCCAGACACCCTCATAACTGCTTCCACTTATACACAATTTCTATTATCTTACACAATTCTACATATACGTTTGAAAAGTGTATTATGTGCTTAAAGCCACAATTTTCCTTCTCACATTTCTAATATGGTTCATAAGATGTTAATGTTACAGTAATATGGTAGTGTGTATGCATGTAAATGAGCTGTAGTATTATAAATCTGCTTTTTATATCCTTCAACCATATGGCACATATTTCCACGTCTAAAGTATTTCAAAGATCAATATGAAAGACATAAAATGATAATTTGCTAATGATTGGCCCACCCAATCTAAATGTGTTAACAACACAAAGAGAGCTTACCTGATGTTAACATCTGTGTTTTTCCTCTGCCTCAAAGGATCTTTACGAAAAGAAGCTGCTGCCGAGGTTTTAGGACCAGCAAATGTTTGTGGTCTTCGCCTGTTTACTGGAGAAGTGGGAGCTGATTGAGGTTTGTCTCCTTTATCATTTTCATCCAATCCATCTTCAATGGAACCAAGTCCTTCACGAGGCTGTATGTCACGCAACTTCGAGCGAATGCCCTTGTACGCAGTTCGAACATCTTTACCACGTTCCTTTACCTGAATAATTGAAATGAAAAACTTGACAGACTGCACTAGAGAAGATGATTATCAAGAACTGGTAAACCCTCCAGCAATACTGGTTGTTTATTGAGTTATATTATGACTCTGTACCAACTATTTAGGATAATAAATGTGGGGTGAAGTGGTTGTGGCATACTTAAAGACACTAACCCAAAGTTTGCACAAGAGCACTTAGAAACAGCAAAAGATACACTGGACCAGTTCAATGTTTAAAGGATACTTTATTATTTCCAATCAGAGTCTGATATTTCAGGGACAATAAACACAAGACAAGAACTTTAATAAAAAGGAAATGGAAAGTAATTAACGGTTTTACCTTTTACAACATTTAACTGACAGAAATAAATCATTACTGATATTATTTAAAACAAACTGTAGTAGGCACAGAGCAAATGTTCACATTTACAGAGAGAAAGCTCTTGGAAAGTAGCTAACTAGAAGACTATGAAGAAGGAAAACAGCCAGAGGGAATATAAATCTAATTGAACTGACTCAGGCAATATTAGTGGTATGAAACTTTCGGGTTCTATTATCAGTTATACGGTTAGTACGTTGGTTAATTAGTTATCATCTATAAGACAGTCAAAAAGTTCAAAAACCTTTTTAACCACCATCAAAACATACAGTACTTGTGTGAATTTTCATGTCTGAGCAAGCAAGAACATGCACGCATGGAAAAGACAGTTTTTTTTTCTGGAGTGACCAATCAGTATACAGAACATGAAAGGCACCAACTTACATATTTTTTGAACTTGGGGCACTAAAAGTTACAATTTAATGAGTGAGCGTACATAAAGTTTTGCGTATTCTTACAAACTTTGACATCGTCAGCAAAGCGGAAGGGGACAATGCCATGTGACAGGCTGCAGAGCACTAATGGTTAAAGCATTTCAATGAGAGCTAAAATCACTGGAGGATGACATGTGGAAGTTAGGGACAGCAGTAGCTTGTAATGAAGAGACTACTATTTATGATCAAGAAGTAATCATGAGGACTGTAGATAGTCACAAAAGTTGTTGATCTGCCATGTGGCACATGTTACGCCATTTCACATTATGGCCTTAACATGAATTGTTTGTGTTTCATCCCCTTGTTGCACAAAATCTCATGGAGGATCAACACAACAAACAATCCCTCTGTAGCAGGGACAAGAATAACAGACATGACAATAATACAGGAATTCTGAAAATGGTTATCACAGGAAAATAAAGTAGAATTCTGAGTTTAGTTTGTAAGCTGATAACAGAATACTGTTTAACCATTTTCTCAGGTACAGAAAGATATTAATTACACTTAGGAATGTCTGCCAAGAAAATAATTACAAGCAGTCACACTTACAGATTTCACAGCCGACTTCATTGCAGGGTTTGCCTGAAAGTACAATAAAACATAAAAAAAGGACATCTAGAGAGAAAGCAATGATGATAACAAAAGAACATACAACAAACGAAACAGGTTTCTCTACAACCAACAATGCAAAATGTGGTAATCATGTTTACTCAAATCCAAGGTACTTCAGAATTCAAGCAACCCATAATTTCTGAAACATCACAGATTTATACAGTGTTACAGAATAACTTTTCCAAGACAAGAGGTTATTCTGGGTTTTGAATTCTGTCTTGTTTCAAATACCAATTTAAATGCATTGTTAATTAACTCCCTTGTAACAAACCCCAAAGCTTCAACACCACTAACATCAACAGTTTCACCACCGGACACAATCCTGGGATGGTTTACTTCATTTCACATCCTACAACTGAACTCCTAAAATTCATAATAATATTTTCTTCACAACTTGTCCGCAGCTTTCCAAGAGTCCTCTCACTCTCTCAATGTTTCCCTGCAAAATTTGTTCCTTCTTTCTTTCCCCTTTGAGACCTGTATAAATTATGAACTACCTTCTGATACATTAACCTCAATCCCCCACTTCACCTCTCTGTGGTCCAAATTTTCCTGAGAACTTAGTTTTAAAACCTTCAAATGTAGACTCTTCCTTCAAATTACAATATATACAAACTGGTAAGATTGATGCATCATAATGTGTAATGCATCAGTAAACAGATATGAAATCAGTATGACACTTTCCGTTATTTTGTAAGAATCCTTCCAGAAGTAGAGAACGTAGAACAATTTTTTAATAAATTATGTGGCATTTCACAATTACATCTTGACATGCAATATCCACTAAATTGTGAACTAAAATAACATTTTGCTGGTCAATAAAGACAAAGACCATCACCACGGAACATATACTAGTACCCTTGTTTAATAAATCTTATAACTGTGACACAAGACATACCTTATCCCTCCCTGCAATAACATAAACCGGACAAATGAACAGGCAGACAAGTTTTCCTCAAGATTTTTATAAAATAGCAACAAGAACAAGTAGCACAAGAAGATTTACACAGAGTTCCTTGGATTCATGAACACAGAACAAACAACTCAGACAGAAGACTTTCTCAAGACTACAAAGGACCAGAGCACAGAATAAAAATGTACCCATGGTGCCTTACCTTATTTCTGACAGTTTTGAAGAAGGCACTTCCCTCTTTCCGCATGGTATAGGTCCACTCCTTATACTGCTGCTTCAGTTTGGAACTTGACTTATCCGAATAATTACAAGCTTCCATTTCAAACTCGTCAGAAAACCCCAGTCCATTATTTAACATTTCAAGTCTTTCTTCAATGAACTGTAAAATATTTTATTAATAATCATACACTATCAGCTGCAACAAACAGAAGTTTTCAACAACTAAACATTGCAGTGTTTCTCAAACTGTGGTTTGTCACACAAAAAAAGGGATACTGGCAACTAATATCATTTTAAGAAACACCCACAAAAACAATTTTTTATGAAGGGTTGTAAATATACATAAAAATATTGGTAGTATGGAACAGATATAATTATGATGAGGATCAGTAATGTTATGCAGCTTTTAAAAAATCAAGCTTTACAGATGGGAGGATAATCCGAGTTTTACATGAATACAGCACACCTGCTGGAATATCTGCAGCTGTAGCATTTTACGTAGAAAAGGCTGCATACTGGAGGGACGGGACTCAATGAAAGCATCAGGGCTGAATGTGATTTTCTGACCCTGATGGAATTTCAGAGCATCTCGGTATCCTCCAATCAGCTGGACCAGAGCACGAAGAAATGCTCGGGACACCCCATCTCCCAAAAGAGCAGCACGATTCCGAAGCTGGCGTCTCAAGGAATTTACCTAGTAACAAATAACAAAATGACGTAGAAAAGAGAAAGTTCTACAAAAACAAAGTTCTGGGAAGAATTTAAGATGACTAATTTCCTTCAAATGTTTTTGCCAATGGCAACAAGAATTCTGTTGCCCTCAGTGGACTAGTGGTTAGCGTGCTCACCACTGGACCCAAGGTTTGCGGGTTCAAACCCTACGAAGGACGGTGGATTTTTAAGGGTGATAAAAATCCATAGCACAACTTCCTTCAGAGGGGAAATAAAGCCGGCAGGCCCATGTCGTAGATTTACGGCATGTAAAATAACCTTACGAGCATGAAACGAGATGTTTCGTAAGCAAAATTCAGCGGCCATTTCTCACCCAAGTCTCTCCTGATTCACTGCTAGATGGATCCAGCAGTCAAATCAGGAATGAGTAGTAATTGTGCAGAGTCAATGGGCTGTTAACTTACTACCCACAAACGCACACATCAAAAGACCATGGAAACCTCTGAAAGGAGGCCCTAAGCTCTGGAAAAAGAGCAATAGAAAATAAAGAAGCAAGAATTATGAATTAATAATTACACCACCCAGTAATCCATTTCAGCGCATAATTCCCACTAGCACAGATTTCAACTCTGTTACATAAGCAATGTATGACATAAAAGTTTTGCACCATTTCTGTATCTGTAATTGTAACTGCCCAGAGCCAGTTCAATGTAGTTCACACAGAACCTGTCCAATTCTAAAGCACTCTGAAGAGAAAATAAGAATCTATAACATTTCTAGCCTCTATGTCAGGGGCTGGCAACTTTTGGCCCACGGGTCATGTGTGGCCCTTCACATGATTTGGGAATTAGCCAATGTGAGAAGAGCAAAATTTTCTGCTACTGAGGGACACTGATTTAAGTATAATACAGTATGCAAACTTTAGGGCAAACAATCACAATACAAATATTTTAATTTAAAAAAAAATCACAGATATGTTATAATCATGTTAACGCAGAGATGTAGATTCTTCCATTGTCGAAACCATATGAAATTTAACAAAACAACATGAAAATATTTATATTAATAACTGAAGTTTTATTAAATGACTTGAAATCAAACATGTTTAAAAGTTAACAAACATATTTACAGTAAACTCAATTGTATGGAAATACAGCTATTATCTGTTTCCAAGCAAATACCAACCTTACTCTTTAAGTTAAAGAAATACATTTCTAATTACAGACCATGCCATTATTAACATTTTACTGCAGCCCTCAACAAAGTTATAAATACCAAATGTGACTCACAATAATGAAAAGTTTGTCGATCCCTGCTCTGTATCATGAAGAAAATAAATCACTGTGAAGTATGATGGAGTGGTTTCCAAATACTCACTACATCCAGAGGAAGACTTTCCAGGTCTTGGAATGGAGTCTCAACATTGTTGTTGTCTGCATCCAACACCACAACATCTCCAAGGTCAGCCTTTCTCACACGCTGGGAATAGAATCATACTTAATTATACTGCAATGGATTAACACACTACGAAGGAATATCTAAACCATAACAAAGCATACTATTTGAGTTAATGTAGAAAACACTCCAATGATTCTAAATAAGAATATCACATTGTTATTTTGTTTATGTCCCTTATTTATAAAACTAATGCTGGAAGTTCATACATATTTTTATTTATGTCTTCTCTACATATGAGAATGTACTATAAAATTATTTCATTGATAAATATCCTAAAAATGTCATTAATATAAATCCTGTCATAAATATACTTGCTTTATTTTTTCCAAACATAAAACTGCAATAAGAGAAATATCAAATGAAAAGGGAAACACTTCAATATGTAAAATGCTGAACACTTAAAAGTACAACTTGTGACTTAAACTAACATGTACAAATTACAAAAAGTTCCAGGAACTCACGATGCTTCACTGTATATGGAGAGACTGATAAGATCAAGCCCACAAAATGTAAGGACCCTATATCAAGCAGAGAGTTGCTGTGGCCTTTAGCAACACAGCGTAACTAAATGTGCTGTTTTGGAATAGAGAGTTCTATTCTAATTTTCATAACTATTTGACAATTTATACTAGAGTGATGTACCTGATATATGACTGCAGGGACCCCAACAAGGTAAGGCATGGGTGCAAGCAAATAGTCCATTAGAGCCATTGGTAACACTGGAATAAAGATGTGCTGCCAATTCATAGGGTAGATGATAGAATTTGCAGACTGAACACAGGCACTCAGACGATACAGTTTCTTTGAAGTGAAAATTATACGTCGCTCATACAACATAGATGCAAAAATAACCATCATATTATGACCATCAACAGCATTGTAATACTCGGTAAGGTTACGCTGAAAAGAAAGATAAACATATAATAATGAAGTCACTGAACGACTAGGAATTCAAATCATTAATTACTTCAATATAACATTTCTAGGGTCATGAGAGTACTTCAACTAAAATCAACTATACTTACATTTTCAGGGATGCTGGGCAACTGAAACTGATTTGGGCATGGACACACGAAGGTCTACAACAGCAACAAAAGCATCATAAAATAAACATACTCTTCAGTGGGGATAATGAATATAAAGTTGTGAACTGCTTACATACAAATTTCTGAGTATACAGTTCAGTTTCAAGTTTGAAGAAGTATCTGTTTCTAGGGACCATCTGTGCATATGAAAGCCTTTCTCTGTCCAAATAGATATTCATGTAATACTAAGAACTTTGCTAACATTTACCGATGAAATTTTGGTCTGTATCGAACAATTTGTGTTTCCACTTCATAGACAAAACTCTTAAACTGAACTTCAAATATAACTGTTACACATGTGCAGATTTTTAAATTCAAGAGCTGATCTTAACAAAATAAAGTCTCAAAATTAGACTTTCTATATAGGACAACATTTGAAAATAATGATTTTAAAATCATATCAACTGATCAGAGATCCCACTTATTTGAGGACTAAAATTAATTTTTAAGAATATTTTAATTGATATTCACTGAACAAGACTTATTTCAGACAAAATGGATGCAATACACTAAAATTAATATATTTTTTCATACACACTTATCAATACAATGTATCTTTTTGAGAAAATGGCCACTGGAGCATAAATCAGGCTTCCTGATAAACACATAATTTCAAGATCTTTACAATAACAATTTTATCACAAACTGATTATGCTGTCACAGTACACTTTCTCAAGCTTTGCTCATCAAAATAAATACAAAATCATGATGCTTAAGTTTGTTCAAGTTAAAAACCAGGTGTTCACTCATCCATACACATTGTAAAATGTGTTCAGATGACGTGTTGTGTTGTGACCTACGCTTTCAGGTATGTATGGTTTTTGACCAAATCGGCCTCTGACAGCCTGCCCAGGGTAAGTGTATAAATCCGCATGTTCGGACAGATGCATCCATGGTGTAATTAACAGTTTGCCTCATGATAAGATAACAGCTAATGATTAAGAAGGCAAGCAGATGAGTCCAAGTCTGTATGGGACTGGTACACAAAGTTCTGACTTTATCAGAATTGAGTAATGGAAAACATCCCTACATTCTGAATGTTGTTTGTTTCAATGCACTGAAGTTTAAGAAAAATGATGATGCAGAAGGACACTATAGTCCCACTGGGCAAACAACAAAAACATTTCACAGGACACATCCCTTTCAGCTTTCAAAGATTAAAAGTGTTCTTGTAGTCAGTATCACCACCTCCAAAAATTAAACAATACCTCGAATGAGCATAAAAACATGAAAAATAAAAATTCCTCATAATATGTGTGCTAATTATAGCCTTTGCAAATCATATGTGGCAAATTTTATGTAGCTTAAGATATTTAACACATACATCACGTTTCATCTATTCATTAATATTTATGCACAATAATTTTGTTTCTCATTTATAAGAAATATCCATACTTTCAAATTTGGCTTGAAAAATTTAATTTTCAGATGGAGCGGCAGGGTGCTGCTTTGGAAAAACACTGTTATTGTTTTCTCTGTGTTTATCATGAGACTATTTCTGTCAAACAACTGCAGCTCATTCATAACCCCACAGATTTTGTGTTGGAGAGTCATGATGAGCAATATACCTAATTTGCATTTCATTCACAGACTGAAAAGAAACAATGTACATACATCTCGACCATTATTGAAAGGAACATGGAGTGTTCTACCAGGGTCTGGAACACTACTGTGGTACACGACATCCAGAAACCTCCACAGCTCATCTGACTTACAACTGCTGTTTATTTCAGCTATGTGGTTCAGTAACCTGTAATTACAGAACAGGTACACGGACTTGTATAAACAACTGATAGTTACTCAGCTGGACAAAAAATAAATTTCACACCATCATCACAATAATCTGTCTTTGAAAATTTCTTGAGTCAGTCCAAATCAGTTCACAAGTAACCCCTCTTCACACATACCCTTTTTCCTAAACGTTCTCTTCTCATTAGGTATTCCAAGTAAAACCTGCATGCATTTTTGGTTGCACCCATGCATGTTACCACCATTAATTCTATGCTTTTATGTGGTAATTCTAATAATACCAGGTACAGAGAACAAATAGTTAAGACATGGTACATAAGATTTAAGGTTTTCACAGTAGGAAATCCAAAGATAACTTAAGACACGGTAAAGTTTTCCTTGTTCTATTTAAGCACCATGCCACGAAGGCATGTAGAGAAGTGAAGGTACTGCACTCTCATCCTTGGCAGCAAATGGAGGTGAGTCATCAGCTACATTCTCTGGCTACTTTACATCTTGGTAAAAAGTCCCTCATACTCATTGGCATAGCAAATTGGGCACACCTCAAAGCTGATCAGGATATGTTGGTAAAAGAAAAAATCTCTGTATGTGCTGGAATCAAAACTGTGTCCATTCAGCCTGTAGGCAGTCACTACAACGTCTGTTCTACCTGGCTCTTACAAGTATTAAAGCTCCTCATGTTTTATTTATTTAATTTTTTTGGCATCTCTTCTCTCTTTGGACTAAATATTCTCCACAGCATTTCATTATCAAACAGCTTCAGAACATGTTCTTTCATCAGGGTGACAGATCTAGTTTCATAATCACATAAACAAAAAAGACCATCAAAATTTAATTATGAAACACAGTTCACGAAGCATGACATGTTTCACTCATTTGCTCATATGAATGATTTGTGCAAAATGAATACCCAGCACAGCACAGACACTATTTACATTATACTTACTTATAAAATGACTCATGCCATGGCAGATAGCTCAGCACTACAAGAGCTGTTTCAGTTTTTGGATCATGTCGGCAGAATCCAAAAGTCCATTTGGAATCTATGCTTGTCAGCACAAAAGAGTAGTGCTGAACAATGGTGCTGAAATTAAACAAAAGTGTATGTAACTTGCTTAAACTTTGTAATATTTAAAAAAAACTGCATAAGCATGCATGTCCATTTATACATAAATAAAAGTTGTCTAAATAGAGAATGCATGTACTGTTCATGACTGTAATCTTCAGACCTGCAGGGTGAGGAAGTGGAGTGAAGGAGGAAAGATAGCATCCGCTATGCAGTGTAGTAGTATAGCATCAGTTCAGAACATATTGGCCACTAATATGCTGGTGTAGTGCGCAAGTGAACTGAACTGAACTGAAAAATTTCTTTATTTAGTGTGTGTGAATTCGCAAGTCTATTGTAATAACTGTGTTCAGGTAAAGTACTGAAATAATGTCGCCTCCATTGAATGTTACCATTCACCAGGAGGGTATGGAAATAATAGCAAACGTAACTGAGAAATGTGATGAGGAATCACGTCAAAAACGATTGTTGTTACCAATTAATAAGGCAACAGAGAGGGCAGCACTGTACACGGGGAAATCTTGGTCATCCATATTAAGAATCGGGAGGAAACAAAGGGAAAGGAATGCTACTAATCCGATCTAACTTCTCAAATCACCAGGAAAGAAGAGAGGAAAACATTCATGGAATGTTGTGTTTGTGGATGACTTTGATAAGTGTTGTCAGAAATACAATTCAGGGTTTCTATATTCAGGAAAAAAGTGCCAACAATACATTTTCATTGTTGACTGGAGATCAAGGTATCTTGCAAAAATAAAGGAATACCAGGATAATGGACATCTAATATTTTATATTGAAGAATAATAGGTTTACAGCAACCTAACCTTTCATAAATGCTGGCAAAATGAAGAAGTCATGGACATCCAGGCCAATGTGAACTCTGGGAACAGGCTTATCATGCAGCATGTAGGAGGGATTAATAGGTTTCTTCCTGATGCAGCACTTATTTATAAGGCTAGAAGTGCAATGGGGGACTACAATGATCAATAAATGAGAAATGAGCAGTTGAAAAACTGATTCCCAATCTTCCCGCTCAGTCAGTAATTGTCCTTAACAATGCACCTTATCACTGTCTCCAGATTGACAAACCACCACCAGCCTACGCAATAAAGGCAGACATCATTTCCTGGCTCTACAAGAAAGGTGACCTATAACGAGACCATGCAAAAAAATTAGCTATAAAACCTAATTCTGCTACTGAAACCCAAAGAGAAGATCTACAAATGTAACATTTGAGGTTTTCACAGCGGTGAGTATGAAGATTTCTGTCTTCTGGGTTGTTGCGCTGTGTAGTCTGGTTGATGTTAACCAACGTTTCAGAGGTCATACTGCCTCTGTCATCAAGGCCCTGATGACAGAGGCAGTATGATCTCCGAAACGTTGGTTAACCAACCAGACTACACAGTGCAACAACACAGAAGAGAGAAATCTTCAAGATCTACAAAATTGATCACATCTTGGAAAAATATGGCCATGCAGTTGTTTGACTACCTCCATATATGTGCAATTTAAATCCCACAGAACTTGCATGGTCGAAAATAAAGAGAATCGTGCGTAAAAACGTCGCAGCAGATCTGAGCCTGCAAAAATGACTACAAGTGACAAAAGATGCAGTGGCACTTGTGACAAAGGAAGAATGGGAAGGGTTTTGTAGACACACAGAAACAGTTGAAAGCCAATACTGTGAAAGGGACAGCATCCTTCCAGATGTGATAGACCATGTTGTCATTAATCTCAATCCTGGCAGTGACAGTTACAGTGATACCGACTTTCAAAGTGACTGTGACAACAGTTCCAGTGAGTATAATAATACTATGCCTGATGAAGACAATGACATGGAGCTTGCACAGCCACTATAAAATAAGTAGTCAATGTTTTTGCTTAGGTAGTAGTCTGATATCTGATGTCTGCCCAGCCTTTCATGTTTCGGACTTCCTGCATTCCTCGCAAGTCTCAAGGTTACAGTTGCGAACAGCAGATATGGCTCCTCAAGCTTTGACACTTTATTATCTAACTTTATAATCAGCATCACAAGTTTATATCTTTGTTTATTTAGTAAGACCAGTAACAGTGTGTACTCTATGGATTTTCAGGTTATCAAATAAATTAAACAGTCAGCTGTCAATATCATACATAGCCATAGCAGCCAAAACAATATATGAGAATTTCATTACTGAAAAGTTTATAAAGTATTTTCAGTTTTGATTCATAGATTTTTAAAATACTTAACAACGTTGTTCTTGATGCAAACATCATATAGGTATCTATGACTGAAGTAGGAAGTTGAATGGTGAGAGATAGGTATTTCGAAGTAGTCATGGCTGGCTGCAAGCATTCTATGGAAAACTGAGGAACCTGTCAGGACACAGTAATGCAGATGAGGTTTGAAGTGGGTGGCCTCCAAACTTAAGTCTAGGATATTACTTCCACATCACCATTCTTGGTCTTACATATTTGGAATACTTTGCTTGGATGATGATTATGATGAATTAGATGTGCGGTGGGCAAAATTCATTATGCTCATCATTCATGTGTTAATTCTCTACAAATCTAATTTTCCACACTGTAATTGTACAAGTATGTTGCAGTATTATATTCCAGGACTTTATTCATGTCATAGGTAATATAAACTACCTGATGCATGTGTAGGCGAAAGCTGCCTCTTAACATGCAATAAGTTAGCCATCTAGGATCCTACTCTTAAGTAGTAGTCCCATGCCCCACAATTTTCAAACTGTGAACTAATACTGCTGCACAGCCAGCCTCAGAGTTCACACAGACAGCTACACCATATGAAATAAGAAATTTTGATGAAACAACTTACTTTGCAAAATCACATGGATATGCAAATTTAGGGACAGATTTCAAGACCCCTTCATCTCTGTAGCTATCTGGAAACTTTTGAATGATCCATGCTTCCTTGTCTGGTGACTGCTGCCCAACAACTTCACAGAAGCACTGAAACAAGTGCTTTACATTGTCCCTGAAATAGTTAGTATTTTAGTATACAAAATCTTTTCCAAACTGAAGCGAGATCAGAATAACTTCTAGTTCATATGCATTTACCATAGTATTCTGTTGTGGAAAAGTTCGTAACTTTCGGGATTTCTAAGATATAAATAAATACTTAATATTTTGATTACGCACCGTATTCGTGATCCCATTTTCGTGCGAAAATTGAAGACGATCCGTTCATTTTGGGTTGTACTTATTTATATTCTTCCACACCTCAATTATCGCATTATAAATGACAGATCTTGCACGAATCACACAGATGAACATCACGGACAAACGACGTAGCACATCATACAGAACTACGAACGTTGACATAGATAACTTACCAACGGAAAGGAAAGCTGTAGACATGTATTATGTAAGCTTTGGTAGTTCGTCGTATGCACAGACGACCGTTGTTCAAACATCGAAGTTTATTTAAATCTCTCTGGTGATTAGATTTAAATGTGTAAAAAAAAATTTCTCAGCATATGATGATGCTTGTCGGCTGGTGACAGGTTACGGCGGAAAGTCGTACAGTTGGGAAAGACCCGCCCTTCTCAAAGATAAGTTCAGCCTTTTTCGCGGATAGTGGCAAAACCTGTGCTGTGGCTTTAGAGAATGGCGTTCAGAATGAAAGCAGTAAAGAACATTTTCCCGAAGGTACCGACGGAAATTGCTGCCTTTATTTTTGTAATCTGCATAATACCAACTATATATTTCTTTGAACTGTTTGTGGTTGTTCCGTCATTTTATCCCGTATGGTCGGTATGGTATACTGTACACTTCACATGTGGCACATTTCTTATGTGTAACATAACAAGTAACTTCGTAGCCATCGTCTGCACAAATACAAGTGTCAAGGGACTCTTGTTACAATCCAAGTTACAACCCAAGTGGCATTTCTGCTCAGTTTGTGAATCGGTTTCACCTCCTAGATCTTGGCATTGTGATACCTGTAGTACGTGCATTATTAGACGAGATCATCATTGTATGTTTACTGGGTGTTGTATTGGACATTATAATTACAGATTTTTTTTGGCGTTTGCGATTCATTTGTTTATAGCCACAGCATATGCTACTTATTTTAACGGCTATTTTATGTGGGATAGGATTAATTTTCAAACACCCATGGCACTACTGAAGATAGTTTTCCCCTTGGCGATGGTGGCGTTTGGAATTGATGTATCAGAAACTCAGTTGTATTTAATACTTTTCTTAATTACCATAATGGGCATGCTCTTTATGGTGGCTTTATTAATTTTTCATACAAACTTAATATGGCATGGAACAACTACTTATGAGAAAAACCACAAAATAAGAGATTATGATTTAGGTTGGAGACAGAACTTCAAAGATGTGTTTGGAGAAAACTGGTTTTTGGCATGTTTTTTGCCATTTGCCCAGTTAAAATTACCTGGTGATGGCATTACTTGGAATACCAGTGATGTGTGGCAGATGGAAGGACCAAAAAACAGATGACATTTTTAAGCACATGCTTTAGATATTGTTTCTTTCACCAACTCAATCTTTATGATTTGTGTGTGGAATTATAAGTGTTATACAGAGTATTTATATTTGTGAATCAGTTGTAAGTTTCGCTGTACAATCTAATGAAGACATGTTACTTCCAGATATTTGATATGACAAAGTTTCTAATTTTGATATTATAACAACAAAGCAAACAACTTGAGCATTTAAATATAATCTAGCGGCAAAAAATAAATTTTCAGTGGGAAGCATAGTTTTGGTAACTCGTGATTATAATCCAGAATTTTGTAAGGTGAAGTATGTGACTTGAGAACAAAGTGACCAGAATTTATGTATTTCTCTGACTGCAGTTTTTAAAATCATTCTTATCTAGTGTAATTTCATTTTTGAATAAGGCACATCAAAGTATTGTTGTTTCAATGTTTGTTTTATGTAAAAATGAGGGCTCAATACATTAGAAACATTTCTTCCTCCATTCTTGTGTTTTGCAGCACAGTAGATAGATATGTTCAGTTATGTTGCAACAGACAGTATTATTATCCATCTAGTCTAACCATGAATTGCATCTCATATATTGGAAATATTATTGATCCCTACCACACACTAACACCTATATAGCATGTCAATAACAATCCAAAAATATGAAATTAGGCAGTGTAACATAACCTTACCTAACAATGATTTAAAACTGAGTAAAGTAAAATAAACTAAACTAAACAAAATCAAATCAAAATATGGCTAATCTAATACTGACTAGAAATGGTATGATAATGGGTGATTTTGTCATCGACTACTATCATACAGAATAACACTGCAATGTAGGACTTGCATGACAGGCAGTGTCATCAAACTGGAATGGGAAATTGATGTGGAGACCAATTACTGCCTCTACAAATAGCATGTAACAGGACTTACAGAATGATAAAGAGGAACATGTACAACATACCTTCAAAATCTGAAGAGGCTGGCATTTTTGGAATGACCAGATAATTACAGCATTCATAAGGGGAAAATTAAGACTCTTCATCTAGTATTAGGATAATTAAATCACGGATCAGATAAGCAGAACATATAGTCCATAGGTGAACCAAGAAATACAACATTTTGGTTAGAAAGCCTTGAGTTAATCATGTTAGGGACCCATGTATAGTTGAGAGAATAATATTAAAGTGGATATTACATAATGAAGTTGTTAACTGGCTCAGGATATAAACTAAAGGCAATATTTTGGGAACATGGGGTTCCATAATGGAATTTGTTGAGCAGCTGAATAACTATTAGTGAATAAAAGTACAGGTCACTTGAGATAAATGAGTTGGTAATGGCCATCATCTGAGATAAAGTGACATGCATTAAAGCATGTTTTAAATTTGATACAGCAAGTTCCTTTCAGGGAGGACATATTTTATTTTGTCTGTATTAGCAGTGAACTTGTCAGAGCTTTTAATTCAGTAATGTAAACAATAATGAACAAATTAAACGTTGGCAGAATAAATGTTGTTTGAAGGTCTTAATTATGAGTAATAGAAGTAAAATTGTATCAGTTTAGAATGTCCATAGTTTATTATTTATTCATAAATATAGTGGTTTGATCCTGTGAATTGATTGTTGCACGTTTAAAATTGAGTTTTATATGACATCACATTTTGTGTTGCATACTACTACTTTGCTTACTATCAACTAATTTTTTGTCTGGCACTTGCTGCTGTTTTCTTTGTGTGTAACAGGTTTCTGAACAGTGTTATATGTCAAAAATGCAGGCTACAGTATTTAACATGTACAGTAAAGAAACTGTATTGTAAAAATGTAATTGTCTTTTTAACAATGAATTCATGTTTTGTGAGCATAAGAGTCCTGTAATATGTTATGGTCCATAAGACAAGCAGTTGTTCAAGTTTTGGTGTGGCTAGAAGCTGGAACCTGTGCAGGGTCTTTCATATGCATTTATTTATGTACTACTATTTTGTCTGTTATATCTGTTCAAACTGTGAACAATAATATTGACATCAAAAGAGTTTTAGAAAAAAGGGGAAATAAAGAAGGACAGGATTGTAATAAATAATTTGTGGACCTATCATGTAATTTTATTTTTATTGATTCACTGGATTATGAAATAAATATGTGAAACTTCCATACTTTAAACAGACTTTAGAATGTGTGTTTATTACTTAACCACAAGCAGAAAATAAGGAATATCACTTAATAATTTATGAAAAATTTCAGACATTATTGGGGATCACCAGTATAATTTCAACATAATATATCAACTACTGGTCGCCCTCAGTGGACTAGTGGTTAGCGTGTTCGCCACTGGACCCAAGGTTCGCAGGTTCAATCCCGGCTGAGGTCGATAGATTCTTAAGGGTGATAAAAATAAGTAGCACCACTTCCTTCGGAGGGGAAGTAATGCTGGCGGTCCCATGTCATAGATTTACGGCATGTAAAAGAACATTATGAGCATGATACGAGATGTTTCGTAAACAAAATTCAGCGGCCACCTTCCTCACCCAAATCTCTTGCTAACTGCTAGATGGCTCTGGCAGTCAAATCAGGATTGAGTAGAAATTTTTCAGTGACAGTGGGCTTGTCACTCACTACTTCACGACCAAGACCAAGAAACCTCCGAAAAGGTGGCAGCAAAAACCCACAAATGGGTTGGAGAGCAGAGAAACAACATATCAACTATTGATCAGATATTATGCATTTGTTTGGTTTGGAGAAAAATGGAAGTATAGTGGGACAGCACATCACCAGTTACAGGCTTAAAGAATTGTGAGAGAACTATTGTATAATATTCCTATTGAATTTGGTGTATCTGTGAAACTAGTGGGGCTCATTAAATATGTTTGAACAAAAGCTGTAATACAGTTAAACATTAGTCTAATGCATTTCCTATTCACACGGTGTGAAAGGAGATTATTTAATGCTTATTTTTCAACTTTGCTTTAGAATAAAGAAAAGAACAAAAGCAAGCACTGTTACATTTTAGCAGGATCTGAAGTTTTCACAAAGGAAGTACAGTATGCCTCATATCAGCTATGACATGAAAAGGCAAAACAAAACTCCCCTAACTCAGATATGGTCCGACTGGTAATCGCATTCACAAAAAACAACCACACAATTTATACGAGGGGACAGATAGAGAAAATACAAGCTAAAAATCTGCCAGGTATTTCAGAGACATAATGTCATATAAATTAAACTTGAAGCAACCAAATCAGGGCATTATGAAGCTGGTAGTATTAAATTGTCTCTGATAAATGGAAATCCCTATACTATGAAGTAAAGATACCCAGTCCTGGCCAGAACTAAAACAATGAACCTCATGAATATGAAGTGGGTAAAATACAGGAGAATATTTGCTGGCTAGCCTAGGGCAATGCCTTTGTACTGTGCACAATCACTGCTTCGGCTGCCAAGAGTCAGCAGCAATGGTAAGAGGAAGTTTTATTATAATTCCTAGACATACTGTATGACTTAGTGATTTTCAAGATTCCCATTGTGTAAGACATTGGTACATTTACAATAGAACATTGAGTGTTTTTATATTAATCTTGCATGTATTGTAACAGCCATAATATGTTTAGAAGTTTGGGAAATGTATCCAAGCCAATGGAGAACATTTTCATCTTCCATGAGCTTCATTATACAATACCACTAATGAACACACACACAAAATGAACATTGACCTAGTGCACCAAATAACCTCCCAGTACATGGCAGTAAACTGCTGAGAAAAAATGAAATGAAGTACAGCATAATGTTTGAAATTGTTTAATCTTACACATGTTTGAGCATTTCTGCATAAAATTAATACAAAATTTAACAAATTGCACTTACCAATATAAATGAAAATCAGTGTTGTTAATAACAAGTGTTCAGTATTTTAAAACTTCAAGGAACTCCCACATTTTACACTTACAAAAAGGTGAATAATTACCAAGCAAGTGTACATGCATAAGAAATGAGCACTATATCGGTAACAGTGATTTGATAACTGCTACTAAAAAATCACCATCACAGCTAGTTACTCAGTATCCATAATAGTGGTAATTATTATTGGAGTCCCTGTTTATTTGCTGCAGAGATCAATTTTCGTGTTCTCCTACCCAAGTACACCTTTACTCTTGGATGATTTTCATGTTGCCAATTGGTCATACCAACTTTGACACCAATAATTTAAAAAAAATGTCACAAGAGAAACATTTTTGTGGCTTTTGCTACTCTATGTATGGCAGCTTGATAACAGACTGTGAACAGGTATACTTACAGACTGCATTGTTCCGATATGCCACGGAGCATAACTCTTCCAATAAAACACAAGTTTAATAATCTATTCAGGCCAGTGACTGTGGCTCCAGTAAATCATTCCTAAATACACACATAATTCTTTGCCTTCATACATCCAGCATCTGATATCTTAGCTTTTTTAATATCCTGAGTATTGCAACGGTTTTGTGTAATTAGTGGAAGACGGCGATTTTCCATGAGATGAAACTGTGCAGGCTATAACAGTGAAATGGTTAACTATCGTAACTTAATACTATATCTCATGTTTGTGCCCAATTCAAAATATGTTATAAAAATCACTTCATTCTTAATATAGATAACTCAAAAACATTTCTGAAGTGCTGATGAATGCTATGGACGGAATCAGCACTTCTATCACAGTACTGTGTGTTTAAAAATAAATTTATCTTTTGTGAGTGACTGTTGAAGTACATGTACAGTTTCAGGAGCTCACGTTTTAGAGGTTCAAATTATTACACCTTCCAATTAATATACCTCAATAAAAAATCCTTTGTATCAAAAGATTCAAATGAGTTCAGAATTACAAACCTGCAGATCACCAACGGAACGCACCAATTTCCAGTGACTGAGACTTAGCAACAGTGGAACTTTGTTAGTTGGATCAACATTAACAATGGAAATATGATCATATCCTCAAACATTAATACAATGAAGTTTCCTATGAAACTATCCTATTAAGAATGTGAAAATTGCAAACCCATACATTCAAAAGTGTTCATTTTTCAGCTAATAAAAGTCAGATCACAAGCAGAACAACTAAAAACATGTGAAGACATTACATAGGTATTTACTGAAAGGGTTACAATCAAGTGAAATCACCAGGAACTGATTCAAGACATCAAAGATAAACTAGGAAAACCAAAGTGCAAAATGAAATACAGGAACAATGGTTGTAGAAGAGAAATGTTGTGCGTGTAATAAAATAAAACAAAACACTGCAGTGTTATAGACATACATAAAAACAACACAGAAGACTAGAAACTAACTGAAAGATGTGAATGGGGAAAGCCAAAAATTCATTTGGTTACAAATGATATATAAAGCAATGGAAGGAACAAACTGGAATGACAGACAATTACAGAGTATAAGAATGCAGAATCCATGACAATGAGGAAGTCCCAATAAGAACAAAAATGTGTAATGAACCACATACAGGCATACTTCGTTTTATTGCGCTTCGCAGATATTGCCTTTCTTTACAAATTGAATGATAACTTCTATATGCACTGGGAAACCAAAAAATTTGTGTGACTCGCTTTATTGCGGTGGTCTGGAACCGAACTGACAATATCTCTGAGGTGTGCCTGTACAGGGCTATTCAAAAAGACTGTCAGGGTTTTGTGAATTTTTGTGGGGCAATGCATTAAACATACGACTATTATCATTACACTGGTGGATACAGAAACTCTCAAAGTTTTGTTCTGTACCGCCCGCCATCCAGTAGTTATGCGTTTGGCCACCAAGTGTCAGCTTTTGCAATATGGCGGCTAACGGTAAGGAGAAGGCGTTTTGTACTCTCGAATATCATCAAAGTCGGTCAGTTGCCATTGTCCAGCGGCACTTCTGCAACTATCCTGGATCTGAAGGTGCGTATCAGAGCTGCCATTTGAAACATCACCGCTGACATGCTGGGGCGTGTGTGGGAAGAAATGAACTATCGTGTAGATGTCTGCAGAGTGACAAAAGGCGCACATAATGAGCATTTATAATGCATGTAAAAAACTTTGAAAGTTTTGCTACACAATAAAACAAGATTCGTATTACTACCTCAATTGTACTACGTGTAGTGATTTTTTAAAAACCCGACAATCTTTTCGAATAGCAGTGTATATGAAATATACCTCAGACACTGGACATGTCCAAAACAGTGTTCCTGTAATATTTTGAGGATCATACCAACAAAAGTCCACCGAACATAAAATTACACAACATAAATTAGTAATGAAGCTATGTTGAGGCAAGCAACAAAATGTGATCATTGTTAGTACCTTTAGCAGTTAGTATGCCTACTCATATCACACCTCACATGAAAGCAGCATCATCTGGAGGTTCATTTCCTCTTCTGTTCTGAGATCGAGTCTGGAATAGTTCTCGAATAAGTGAGGCCTTCTCTCTTTCAAGGGCTGTGATCCGCTCACTTTTCTTACTCACTTCCTGCAACAAAAATGTCAATAGTCTACACCAGTGATGTGCATAAACAGACTGCAACATCATATCCCTCCCAAATTAATAGTTAATGCATATTCCTTTTTTTCGGGTGGTCTGAGGCATCATGCTTCGGACCGGTGATACGGAATGCGCGCTGGTTTGAGTCTCGGGGAAAGAAACCCAGCAATGGCTGGGGGATTCGTCATGCTGACCACATGTCACCCTATATCTGGTTGGATGATTGTTCACCTCTGCTTAGGCATGTGAACCTGAGGCCAGCAGTCAGCTAGTCGGCTTAGGCTCTCAGAGGGCTGTTACGCCAAGGATTCTTTCTCTAAATAAGTAGTACAAGTATGACAACAACTGATTCTAATAGATTTGACATAGCAATACTGTTATGCTTAAATCTAAATCTGTTATTAATTTTCTGTTTTATTAGATATCTTTATTGTTTATGGGTTTTTGTTTTTACTTCATCCCTATTTTTAAATAAAATATCGTAAGATGCGAGGCCTGTGTGGTGAACGGCAAGATACATGTTCTGCCTACCTTCAAGTTCTAATGTTACAATTGTAAGTACACATTTGTGCTGATTAAGACGTAACAGAACATCATGAAGTGGGCTTGCATGGTGAACAGTAAAAACCATGTTGTTTGTTTAATGTTGGTGTTGGTGTTACCTCTGTAAGGAGATGGTTCTGTTGTTTAAGTCGTGACAGAAGATCATGAGATGCTGGGCTTGCATGGTGAACAGCAAGATTAATGTGTAGGGGCAGTCCTCCACGCTCCCAGCTATCTGTCAGGGTGGCAAGGTGCCTGTTCACTTCTAAAACTCTGGCTCGCTGTAGTTCTAAGCGTTCCTGCTGTGCTTCAGTCCACTGCTCCTGTGTACAACACAAATGCTCAATAGTTCTGCGCCTACTGATAAGATTACAAAACAATAAATGTTATAAAACAGTATCATTGTTAATTATGATTTTGGAAGGGTATGGGAGGAAGCGACTGCAAACTATTTTAAGGTTTTGTCACACTTGCCTGAGGGAAAATTTGTCTGAATGGAATTACTGCAATTGAAAATATTTAAGGGGAATGTTTTAGGCATGTTTGACACTACTAACCATATGAGATCCCATTCTCCCTAAATACTTCATTTTCTCTTGCACAGCAGCTACCTGTTTCAAGTACCATTCTCTGGCTCTTTCAACTGCCTGCAGTCCTTGCATCAATACATCTTTCTCTTGTTCAATCTGCTTCATTCTTTTTAGCTGAAACACACAGCACTATAAATAAATCTCCATTACCTGTCACTGACTGTAGATTATTACAGCAGGATGCTCTGTTTAGTATAACTCCAGACATTACTCAAACCTTATCATCTACTGGATGAAATTTGAAGACAACAAAACCTGATAACAGACTGAAAAATATAAGACAATAACATTCTCATTTTAATCAACTTGCTTGAATAATAAAACAATAACACATTATCAGACCAGTAAAATTTCACCATGAACAATGAAGGAATTTACTCACAATGAGAGAAATGTACAGGCATCCCAAAAATATGTATACACAGCAGCAACTTTGGTGGTCACTTGTCAGTCAGGTGCTCACCACTGTCAACTGTGCCACACAGCTAATGGTAATTTTGAACACCTAGACTAGACTTGCTAATTCAATAAGTGCCAGTACTGAAGTATGTATTGGTCTAGTTTATTAAAATGCCTTTATTTCATTCACTGAATGTGCATATATACGTCTTTTGGGCTACCTGATTTTTATAACTTATTAAATGTTATTAAACTGTAATCTTATCAGTTTTTACAGTAAGATGATCTAGTATATAGTTTAAATAAAGTTTAATTTACATAAATCCTCCACTCTATGTTCGTTATTTTGTTTGGATCTATGATAATACTCTGATACTATACCATGTTATAATCAATTCCATTTTGTAATGTATGGCGCCTTGGCTCTCTTCTTCGCCCTGTCATTTTTTTGTGAGGAATTCCCACCTGATCTGGCTGACCTAAAAATTACATTCTAAATTATTCTATATGCCATATAACATTAATTTAATGAGGATGAACACACTAATTCATTATAATTAAAAAATATCTGAACCAGCTATACTTCGATATTGACACCCATCATAGTTCATTACCCTGCATTTTATAGAACCTTGCTGTTAATCCTTTAAAATGAAAAGTGTCTTGAGTTTTGTTATGAAATCCACATTACAACTGAGTAAATATTAAAGCTAAAACTGGATCTTTTGCATACTTCTGGCTGATCAGAACTGCTATATACTTGAGTGCTAAAATTAATTTATACGAATACCATGTAATATATTCAACGAGTGAACAAATGTTTCAAACAAGATCTGTAGAATTTCAAGAGCAAAACACTTTACATGTTACATATGAAATTTGAGGTCTTCAGAGTGGTGACAATGTGGATGTTCTAATCACTGCACGATGTCTAATCTTTTTCCTAAACAATCAGATAACCCTCTTGTGACAGAATAGTAAACTATATACTTAAATTTTCTACTTTAGAATATTTAGTACACAAAAATCTAGATTAAGTATAGAGAGGTATGCTTCACATACCAGAAGGTTTTCCATCTCCTGATCCTCGTCCACCTTGCGAGCCCCCTGGGTAACCCATGGCTTTGGTCACTTCATGATCATTCATCATGATACCTATCTGCCAGTTCTGCAGTGCTGTGCGTATCTCAGCTTTATCCAGGTTCCTCTCTGTTCCCAGGTTTCTTTCACTACTGGTGACAAGCATGGCTCTCTCGAGTCCTGCAGCTGTTCGAGGTGGTTTAGGTGGGCCATACAGTATGCCTCCAGGCTTCATATTAGGCATTTTAAGTTTTGCATCATTTGCATAGTTTCTCAGCTCATTTACATCTGGATGAATATTCTCTTTCCTGTCTCCAAGAAGCTGAGGCATACTTAGTGTCCTCTGTTGTGACATGGCATTGTTGGGGTAGACAGTGGCAGTATTGGGTGCAGTCCAAGATTGTTTTGCTGATGATTCTATATCAAGAAGTGGTGCAGAAGGAGGACGAATTGGCTGAGGTGGGCTAGAGCACTCAGGCTTGTGTGACTGACCTTGAGTACTCTCTACTTGGTTCCGAAGCAGACATATTTTTAGACCGGCACAGAATCGTTCAAATGAGAGTAAACCATTTGGTGGAGTAACTTTCTGCAAACTGTCAATTACTCCTTTGGGAAGACCTTTGGTTCCATCATCTTGCCAACGATTCTCAATTTCTGAAACACCAATACACAGCTCAGAATGTGAGGTCATATGAGATATTTATGCAACAGAAACCATATTCTGCAAATTTAGAGGATGCACAAATTTCCAGGTCTGTGTGGACATATGCCTCTAAAGCAGTGGTTCAGTTATTAAATGCAGTACCCAAAATTATACATCGTGTACAGAGGTACATAGTTTACTCACTATTAACACAATTTTAACAGAATATATCATGTACAGGTAACCCTCGATTTGCGCATTCAGAATAACGCCGACTTTGAAACCAGCAAGTCAAAACATGAAAAAAAATATATTTTACTATTATTTATAATGTTTTATCTCGTACTGATTCTTATACTAAATCGTAATTCTTACATCGCTGATTTGAATAAAAATTATAAATACAGTCACCTATGCGATTACGTATGTTTCGTTAACGCAAATTTGCTCCAATGAGATCGATGAATCGGTAAAAGCTGTTTGTGAAATGCAAACGTTTGCATATGCGAGTTTGCTCTTATGCAATTTCATTCCTGGCGCTTTAAACTTTCAAAGGACTAATTTAATCTCTGTGGAGGCACCGGGGTTATTTTTACTATGCGATTTTCTATAGGTCAGCGCTTACATGAATGCAACTATCGCATAACAGCAGAGATGACTGTACACATCAATCACATGAAAGAATCACAATCAATAGCAGGGACCAACGAATTGCTGATTGTAAGTGTACAAAATATATTTATTAAATTCCCTTTATTTTTTTTACGTTATTTCAGAGCATTAAATGTAATGCCATTATATTACTCGTCAATGTTTGGGTGCTGGGAACGCAGTTCATTGACTTCTCACTGATTTACATTATAAAAGAGTTTCAATTTACGCCGATTCCGTTTAAGCTGGTTCATCCAGGAACGCATCCCCGGTGTAAATCGAGGGCTACCTGTATATTTAGCAGATACAGACAGCATTGTATTCTCATAAGTCTAATTTTTTTTAAAGAAAGGGAAAGCATGCTACAAACTGAAGCAGCAAAACAAATCTCCCATTCTGTCAACAAAACCAAGGTAAAATATAAATCTATCCTGTTGTTAATATGATTTCAAGAAAGCATACCCTAAAGAAGATGGAAGTCATTATACATTTCATTCTCCAAGATACCTTTATACCCAGGAAGAGATCGTAGTATTCCTTAGACAGGGGCTGAATATACCCCAGGCTGTTGCAGACATAATTACAGGAAAGAGCTGAATCTCAAATGCCCTTACTTTGAATCAAATCCTAACCCTGCAGTTTTTAGCCTGTCACTTTAATGATTGACACAGCACAGCTCTTAAGCAGTACTGTTCATATAAACACAAAAGTGGAAACAGCTGCATTGAAATGAAAACTCCACAGAAAAGAAAATGAAGGTTAACAACAGTTGGTTCATAAAGCTGTAGATAGACTTAATAAATTAATATAGTACTAGCATGATTAATTACACAATGATTATATAAACTGAATCCATTCTGCTCAAAGAAAATATTATTTGAGATATGAGGTTATCACAGCAGTGAAGATGTCAAATGTTGGTCTTCTAGATTTTAACACTGAAGATGGAGGAATCCCCCCCCCCCCAAAAAAAAAAACATTGGTATCTAACTACAAGTCCACTTGGCATTACAATCCAGACGATCAACACTGACAAAATACTTTTTCATCTGCTGAATTTTGGTTACCTGAAAACTTGACATAGCCTGTCCTTTTGTCATCCATTATATCAAAGAGTGTCCGCATTGCTACTACAAATTGTTTTGGTAGACCATCAAGTGTGGCAGACTGTGGCAGTGCCATAGCTTCCTGAAAACATTAATTTACATAAATTAAGGGTATTACAACTTGGTCTTTGAAGGTTATACAAATACCTTACTTCTATCAAAATGCAATTTATGTTAGTTCAGAGCGAAGTTCAGTCACTTGCCTATCGCTTCACTGCATGCAAAATGCAGTCAAAACTTCATCTGTAGTAATTTGTCCAGAGAAAATAAAAAAATCACTCAAATAATTCTGTGACGCTAATCTTATATGAAAAAGGTTAGATATTCCATCAAACTTCTCCAATAACACAACATTTAATTTAAAATTGGAACAAAGAATGGATAATTCTGCGTAACAATGGGCAGTTCCTGAAATTTACTATCCTGATCTTTGTACCGTCACTTTTGTTAGAAATTAAATGCGTACATTTTACTTCAAGTAATGTGACTTCCCTAGCAAATACGAATGAAGAAACGAGTACCCCTCCCTGAATCTATGGAACAGCTGGGTTGGACAGCACAATGTACTACAAAAGCAGCTTAAAGGGAGGGCTTTTATGTTTAAAACAATACGTTCCAGAATATATATGTGTATATTCAGATTCTAACGATTTTCTTTAAACGTCCACATAAAATCGGAAAGTTATTTTAACAGTTCCATGACATAAACAGAAAACCAACATTTTCAATAACTTCGCGGTCTTTCAATGCCTACATCCGATTTAAAAATGTACTATCCTAAGCGCAAGTTTGAAAATGTTACAGCAGTCATTTTCATCACTTCAAGTTGTTGTTTTATTAACGTTTTCAAGCACTAGGAATAATTGCTTATCTACGCTCCACATTAGCCTGCAAATTTCACAAATGTTTATGTTCATCACACGTTTTGGTAATTTGCTTTGGGTTTTAGAAGAGTAATATGTAATAGTCGTTTCCGTAACTCTCACGTAATTAAGCTATAATTAAAAGCAAACAACCCGATAACTTACTTCGCTAATTAGCATAAGTATGGCACATTACACGGTTAACCCCATATTACAACACATTCTAAACTGAAATCACGGTTGGATGTTGGTACAATCTGATCAGTGCGAAGGGGTTTGACCTGCTGCCCTTAGATTAAAACCTGTTCTCGCACTAGTCATAATACATGCCATTGGTCAAAACAAGTAGTACACTTCTTTGCAGCGGATTTTTCAAATTTAGAATGAATGAACTGTATGTTTGCCAAAGAATGCCATGAAACTGGGTGCGAGGGAAATAACGGTAGAGTGTTTATTCACAAACAATCACATATGACATTATCTAATTATCACTCCACCTCACGAATTTGAGCAACTGCCACGTTGGTATATCCAAGTGCAAAAAGTCACAATGTATTATTTTGGATAAATAATGTGGCATAACGTCCATACCAAATGTAATTAAAACACTAAAAGTTATATCAAGTTACTAAATGCACACAAACTATAAGTATAGGTTATGTTAGGTTTGGTTATTGATGCTCATGTGCAGTGGCATTATTAACTTTGCATCTAAAAACTTCAACTGTCACAGTATTACCAATTGTAGAAATCTGTTGTATGAGACTGGCAAAGTCACTTATGGCATATCCTCCACACCAAATTTTACATACATCCTTATACAAATACCTAGTTATTAAATACTAGTCTCATGCATTTTTTATTCCGCAGTTCAATTTATTTTAAAAGGTTAAACAAATATGAATTACAATTATAGTGTACAATGCATAATCACATTTCCACTCTTACACTCCATCCTCCATTTCGTCTCTCAATTATTAAGCCCAAGTGACAAGATGAATTTCTAAATCTGGCCCAGAAGCATACATGCATTTGAATTCTCATACATGAATTTTGGAAAATTTTGTCATGATAAAATACATGCATGGTCATCACAATGTACACTGTTCTCCATCTCCATCTCCACTACCATCATCTCAACACAATCCCCTTCTGGGTCTGTACATTGGGGTCCATAAGCAGTAATAAATTATTTTCTTTGAAGCAGTCATTTACCATGCTACTTGTTATAACAGATTCCCATATGTGAGATTTCTTCCTGTGAAAGGCAGTTTATAGGGACATTCACAAACGTAAATGTCTTTGGTATTGTGACTTTTAGTAAGAAACTGTTAAACATAGAAAGGAATGCCACATGGGGAACTCAAACTCAACTTTACTTCTGTAAGGTTGCCTACACAAGGTACAATGACACTGCTTCATCAAACAGATGATGGGGAAAAAAAAGCAAAACTAACAAAATAATTCAATTCTTTGTTTATTTACATGCTCAACAGTTCAAAAGCAAATTAAAAGTAAGCACAAGATAAAATAAATAAAGAGAGAGAAAGAAAGAGTACAAAAGAGGCAAAACAAATATATATATAAAAAAAGACAAAATAAGAGCACCTTATATAATTGAGATAATTTTTCCTGTGACAAATCAAAGGTGAGGGAGGAAGAAAGTATATAAACTTATACTTAATAGAAATTAGTATCTAATAAATTGGAAAGTACTGTAGATATGATATAAAATGACAGAGAAACAATTTGTTTTAAATAAATCAAAGTTCCTGCAGATAATATTCACAGCTTCTGCACATGTAGCAGCACGATTGTTAATTAATGTGCCAACATGGAATATGGAAAAGTCTCTGAGATACAGAGTATGGACTCAAAGACTAATAGTATCCAAGATGGAAGGATAGAATTTAAAACCAAGGTAAATATAAATAATAAAAAGGGAATCAAGGTGATATGTTATCTTACATAGAGTATAGAATTTTAAATAAGTGTTAGCATAACTGTAATGGACACTGGGAAAGAAACAATTATAACAAAGGGCTTCAAACTTTTGCTGGATGTGTTCCAGTTTGTTGGGATCAGCAGTTGTAATGGAATTCCAAACAACAGGGGCATATTCAACCTTTGATCTCACAAAATAAAGTAAAGAAAAGTTAAGCTGTCTTACTATATGCCGTGCTGGCGCTTGGGGGGAGGGGAGCGAGGAGAGTAGGTATAGCTTCAACTCATTCTTAACCTTGGCACTAGGTGAGGGGTGAGTGGTTAGAATCATACCCCAGGCATGCTTTACCCACAGGAAAGGGCCCTGGTACCCAATGAATCTTACAAAAGTTAAATATAACATATACAGGTAATCATGAAAGTAAAATTATGATGATAATGATAATATATATGAAAATGCTTGATGTACAGCACTGATTATTATTTGTGTCATATACAACTGACAACAATCTGAAATATTTATGGTAAAACTCCAACATGGCTTAAAGATATCTAAATTTCTTATACTCGGGTGTTATCTACGTATTACACGGTTTTACCATATTTGAGTGAAAGTGGACAACAAATCCATTACAAATTATGTTTAAAATTCTGATATGCTTAGTACAAATCATGTACAAAAATGAAAAATTGTTTTAAAGGACTCACTTTTAAATGAATAAAAAATTTGAAAGAATAAAAATTTTGCCCAAGTTGAAAAGATTACAAGTCCTTAAGTGTAAAAAAATTATTAAAATGCATTTGACACAGTGTCAACTTGAATAAAATTGTAGGAAAAATCTAAACCTAATCATAAGGCATAAAACAGAATGACACCATTACTACATGGATAATTAATGAATGTCAATACATGACATTATAAAACATGCATTTCTCTGATTCAACTCGTCAACACAATCGTGAGGTTGGGCCAAGTTCATAGCAATGATAAAGCATGCTATCCAGTTTGTGTAACTTGGGCACAAGAAAAGCAGTGTTTAGCTACATCTCTCCATCAGAGACCATACTACAAACTTCCATATGAATAAAGCCCAGAGCAACAAATTCAATACTGAAATAAGTTTAGTTTAATAGTTTTGCTGCATTTTCAAGTTAATAGTTATATAAAGCAGTCTATTGTATATTATTATACTTATTTGATTTCTTTACAATATATGCTGGACACCTACATATTTACAATCACAAATAAAAATAATTTATTTATTAATAATGCACCTATCTTCAGGAACAATAAATTATGCCAATAAATCAATCCTTCAGTATCAATACCAATGATAAATAATCTCCAGCATTCATACTACATACAGTTTTTCACTTCTACCAGAATACAGTTCTTGCTTAGACAAAATATCAGAATTAAAACTCATTACATATCAGAAATGGAATTCTTCTACACTTCTTAATAAAACCTGAAAACATTACAGTCTACAAACTAAGTGCATTTGTGACCTTGGTATTAGTAGTCAACTTAAATCAGTGAAGTTTCAGGAGGCACTTTCATGAAACAATGGGTTTCATCACATTTATAATTTCTGATTTGTGGACTAACAAGACAGTAATGGTTTATTAATAAATAATCACAAGATAAAACTGTCAAAGACAGAGATGTAACAAGACTGGAAAAGTGTAATAAGTATCAGAATACACACAGTTCCAACATGCATTCTTTGCAAATTCGTAACTCTGAATGTTCCATGGTGAAATAAAAAAATATTAATACTACGAAAGCATTGCCATTGATATCATCCACATAAGCGTATCATCATGTAAGATGTATTCGTTGACTCTTACCTACTTCTCTTCTTATTAATAAAGAAACAAGTGACTCGTAATGTCGATACTTTTCATAATTTTCACCCAAACACATGAACATACATTATAAACATTGTTTTCTCTGTTCTCTATTGATTCAACTGTTTATTGGAATCTGACTATTGACAAAACAGCATAGATTCAGAGGGCCTTGACTTTGTACTACAATGTGATCAATAAATGCAATGTATAACAACAAAAAATGTTGAAAAGTCTCAACCTGCTAGTATTTAAAAAGCAATTATTAATGAAAGATAATGCCCGTTATCTTTCTTATACAACTTTTCAGCAGTAGCAAGATACCTCCAAGCTTTGTTCACCATTACAAATACACACACGAGTTGGCCAGCCAGCCAAGTGATAGTGCATAGCTGTCTTGCTCCCCTTTGCCCTTTGCATTTTCCCTTCCACTCTTACTGTGACAGTGTAACTTAGGCTCAGAGATTTTTTGCATTCAGTGTTTTTTCAAACAGTTCAAATAATGTGTTCTCAATGTCTTCTCTATGTAACATATTTCAACATCATTGCACAATGCGACTTAGCTCTGTGGGACTGAATCCTGTTGAATGCAATTTTTATTTTTTGTTTTGTGCAGACACCATGTTCTTGTTTTACATTGTACAAAATTAGTGTATCTAAGTTCTGTATCTTTTGAAGGTGTATTACCATACATCACTGTATGACCCTATATTATCTGATCCCACTACACAAGTTTGTTTGTCCACCATGCTGGCACTACCAATTATAAGAAAATAAAAGTATGATTTTAGGATAGACCCCAAAGGCTTAATGTCCATATCAAATTTCATCAAAATCTGTCCACTAGTTGAGTTACATCATGTGGACAGAAAGAATAAACACATTCTTAATACTGGTATGGTACATAAAATATGCTTGGAATAGTTAAGGTTTTGCCAGCGTACAGTAAAAAGTAACTGCTAAATAGGTCAAGTGCCCAAACATGCCATATTTATTACAAATAATAATGAAATGTCACTCTTGAAAGTTTTATTGCAACACATTATTGCCCTGACTTACTGTCTTGTAATACAGCATTTTGCTTTGTTAAACATTCAACCTCATGCAACTGCTGTCACTTCACAGAACCTCTTCCAGTTTGTCTCACTTCTTTCACCATTATATTTTATCTAGAAGCAAACTACTGGTTTCCTTATTTTAAACTTTATGTTTCAATTAAAATTTAATCTTCATCAAGTTCAACACAAACATTTCCTCAGAAATAAGTCATTGCCCTATTAATGCAAATAGTATAAACACAGTTTTTAAATTCATAAAACCACTAAAACATAAAAATACTATTCTTTTATCTGATACTTTAGTGGTTTATAGACTTAAGAACAGTGTTAATGTGTAGTTCAATATAAGGACACCAGAAGTCATCTTCCAAATATTATATAATGGTGTACGAAGTAAGGCAAGCAGGAAAGGTTGTATGAAGTGATGGCAGTTGGATGAGAATTTATTTCTGTCTTTCCCCACAAAAAACAGAGTTATTTTACCTACTTTCTAAGTTAAAGAATGAAGATGAGGGCATCACACCAGAAGGGCATATCAACATTTTTACATAATCAGAGATATTTGGTCTAACAACATAAAACAGTGGGACTATACCATGCCAGAACGGCATAATGCTGATGCTTCTCTACACAGAGATAGACAGCTACGTTTTGAGTGTACGAACACTAAAAATGCACATTTGTGAAACCAAATAAACATAAAAATTTAGTCTTCTGTAAGTCAGTCATTTTGTTGACAGTGATGATCATAACATTAAAAATAAATTATAATCTACATTGTACTTTGGGGAAGGGGGGTACTCTTTTCAGTTTAACGTGTTAGTCAATTATGTGGATGAAATTTCAATTACATGTTCATGGGCACCATTTCAGGTGCATACTCTTTCATAATTTGTATAATTTTGATATTTATTACCAGGCAATTCATTTAGAGGATTATAAATTTGGAAGCACTGTTCAATTTCGTGTTTTCAATAGAGCACACATACTGACCAGCCCACTATTTGGAAATGTTCCAGAAAACATTTTATTCAAAATACTGATCTTTCTCATGCCTGTTTAGCCAAGAATTTAATTTCATGAAGTAGCAGTCTCTGACATCACATATGGCAGCAGGGATTGAGACAGCCCTATTCCCAGGTGTTCACTAAATATCCCAGCTTTTGGGTTTTGTTCCACTGTGTCTGTTGAAATACAAAAAGCATAAAAATATTATACAACTATGGCTTATTACATACCACTATGTTTTCATGCAAGACATTTCTTTGGACATTAGAAAACAAGATTTACAATAATATGAGGCAAAAACTGCAACTGTCTTTAAGTGAAATGAACAGCCTCTTACTTTCATTTGACATCTTTGGTTCAAAGTGTTAAGATTCTACTTGCATAAAATAATATTTAAATAGACAGCAGACACGCAATTATACCGAGTCTTTACCTGATGTCCACGCTGTGAGCATAGTCTGATGAATGAGCATAGGAAACCCGAGGAGAGATGTGAAAGTTCGTTGTACGATAGACTTTCAATTGTTCTACTCCACCTGCCTCCTGTAACAAAACAAACCACTGTTTATGAAATGTCTAGGACTTGCTTATATTTGTTACCTTCTAAATTTGAGCTGATCTGTGGCAACAAGTTTGATTGGAGGAACATTAAATTTGAAGCTCACTGTTCTACATACAAACTGCTGCCAATGCATTTGAATGGTTAACTACACAGGACAGAGTCCTTAAGAAGGACATAGTCATTCAGCTACTCAAGAACTGGAACTCAAAAATTTAGTACTGCTCTCCAAGCTTTCCACCTAACATTTTATATGTACTTATTACTTTATTTATTTACTTTTATTCATTACCTCAGGCTAAAAAGCATCGAAAGACATGATGATTAATGAATAATGAACTGAAAAGGACATGTAAAGAAGTGGTCACTCATATTGTGACACTTGGCTAAACGGAGTATGGAAATTTTTTAAAAATTTCAGTCAGGATAGCCAGTCTGAGCAGAGACTTGAACCCATAATTGCTGAATATGAAATGGGAGTAATAACCACTTTATTGTGATGCGTGGTGCATTTTATATCTTCCCCATGCATGTTACGTGTCACACCCATCTCTACTTCCATCACCCTATGAGTGTAACAGCATATAAACTTACAGCAAGCCACAGGTGATCTAGCACATCTTCTGCAGAGAACCTGAGCTCTGGCTGAACTTGCAGCATGTGAGCTATTAAATCTTTGGCAGATAATGAAACCTCATCCCAGTATGGTGAACTGAACTCATAGTGGCCAGTCAGAATGCGATCAAACAGTTCCTCTTGGTCACTGTTTGTACTCACAAATGGTGGGAAGCCACATAGCAGAATGTACAAGATAACACCAGCTGCCCATACATCAATCTGCAAACAACACACCTCTCCTTTCAATTTGTGTGTGAGTTTAAACTGCACAAAAATGATAATGTACATACAAGAATTCCTATCTGTCTGTGTTAGACAATATGTTAATACTGCCTTCAATTAAACTGCATGACTTGGGAAGGAAATGTTGTCATGTTGATGGATTTGGAAATTCTTTATGTAATTCAAATACAACATACTTATACCACAATGGCAAATAGGTACTTATTCCACATGTAAGTATGGCCTTATTCAGTTTGGCCTAAAAATTAGCATAAATGTAAACCAAAGCCCTTTTCTCTACCGAATTGTAAAGAAACAAATCCAGAGAAAGATATATAAAGATATTTACTTAAAGAAACAAGTATTTTTAATAAAACCTGACAGCACTGTAGTCAGAAAACAATTTTCAAGGGAATATATGTTACTAATTTCTCAACACACTTACCTTAAGACCATATCCAGTCTCAGCCAAGATCTCAGGAGCAACATATGTTGGAGTCCCACACACAGTATAAAGAGATTCTGTTACCACTTGAGCAAGTCCAAAGTCCCCAAGTTTCAATAATCTGGTGCCATGCCTATCAATTTGAACCTGCAGTTGTTGTAAAGTACAGTTAATAAAAACCAGGGTCAAATTTCTATTCAAGGGCATGTAAAATATTTCAACTGCATCCTGTTCTGAAATTCCTGAACATTTCTTGGTCAGCTGGAAGGAATAAACAACAGACTTCAGGTAGCCAAATATGGCCTGAATGTGATAAAATAACTGCAGACATGCTGTGGCAGGTGCAAGCAGCTGTTACATTCCATGTCTTTAAGTTGTTGACCAATAATTTGAATATTTGCTTAAATAAAGATGATTCAACTGTAAACCTAATGGGGCACAACTTTTGGCCAATCGTGTGGATTCCATACTTTAATTTACGAGGATTCAGTTCTTCAACCATGAAAGTCTGTCAGTCATTGCTTAGTCCATTTCATCATTGCTAATTATTATATCCATCACATACCACAGGATGTAAATTGGATTAAACTGGCCCACAGTCATGTCCCAGGCCTTGGTACTGACAGTGTCACATTTTCATGTTTTGTTGCTAGGAAATTTGTTAACTATGAGGTATAAATCTGAGTGCGAAGCTGGGATTAGATCAACCGTCTGAGGTATGATGCATATAGGATGTGTAAGAGCATTGCCAAAGTGAAATTCATTCCTCTCAAATAAAATCAATCACTTGGACCACTTCTGGCCAGGTTAGAAAATTTTGGCAAGCAGGCTAAATAGCCTGAGAGGCTAAAAGCGTACTCACCACCACTCTAAATTAATTTTCCAATGGCAAGTACATTTATGGATCTGTGAAAATACCACTTACCAGCAAATTTTCAGGCTTAATATCACGGTGAACAACATCCAAACTGTGTAAATAGAACAATGCAGAAGCCAAGTTTCGTATCATCATACTAGCTTCCTTCTCTGAGAACTTTGTAGCTGATGCTATGGCATCAAACAAGTCCCCTCCCTATAACACGATCACCCGTCACAAATTTGTTCCTTTCATTTATATCCACATGTAATTAATACATTTTATTAATTCTATAAAATACTAAACAACAGTCAATTTTTATGGAAACAGCTAACCACAACGGAAAGCAAGATACCATTTTTATTTCATAAATTTCAACAAATAATAATCAACTTACAAGCAGTAACCACTGTTGACAGACTCAGCCAACCAGTACCAACAATGTTGGATAGCCATATTTTGCAATAATTGTTGATAAAACACATATTTATTTTGTTCAGAACTATTTACAGTAAAACACCATATTTATATTTCCGGAATGCACGTTTTTACATAATTCACAGTCTTTCCAGTTCCATTAATTTTCTTAACATATCAATGACTTTCTCTGCAAAATATGTGCCATTTCACTTGAATTTACTGGATTTTACACAACTGTTCTTGTGATTGTTCAACTTTCCAACTGTTGTTTACTTGCATGAGTTAGCTGCCACCTTGCAAGCATCATTTTAGCTTTAGATGTGTGACTGCCTTCAAATTAGTTGTTTTCATTATTTAATCTGTTACCAGAGTTTGCTGTTTACACTGAAGTTGTTTCACTGGAATTTGTGTTTGATAAGGCATGATGAAAACACAAAAGGAAAGAAAAACTCAACATACTATATATGGGATGTTAAGAAATGTGATAAATTTCCTTGGTAAAACAAGTTATATTATCAGTATCAACTCAGAATAGAAGAGTCAAACCCATAATTTCATTGAAGAAAATGCAAGTCAGTGTGGAAGATATCCGATTATTTTTTGAAGAAGTAAATACACTGCTATTCTAAACCCCCACCCCCCACCCAAAAAAAAAAGCTTTACAAATGACATCAAGTTGCACTGTGATACTGTATATTTTAGTTTCTGGGAATTATATGTTGTAAAAATGTTCACACACTGCTTAATAATTTACCAACATTATTAGCTGAGCATTCCATTAAACGGTTCAGATGAACATAAGTACTAAGCTAATGACTTTTGCATTTCCTGTAATTTACACAATTTTTATCCCAGAAGAGTGCAGAATGTAATTCCACTATATACAGTTAGTACCTCTATGCTGCATCTGACCAGTGTTGTGTCAATATTGTCAACTTACAAAGCTTAATAAGTGGATCAACCTTTAATATGCATGTACATTTTCTAAATACATGATGCAGTTTTTGCTGTGTATTGTGTGCCATTCTCATGTGTCAAAGTTGTTAACAAGACAAACAAATTTTACACCACAGACCAGAAGAAAGCTTAACCATTCACAGATTACCAACTTAACATTTGGATGCTATCATAGCTCATCTTGCACTACATGAAGATGTACAGTAAAAATGATCATGGCTCAATAAATGTTAGGCCAATAGTAACTACAAAATGCAGCTGTGAGCTTATACTGACCTTGACTAGTTCCATGACTAGATATAACTCTGAGTGTGTATCATACTCTGCAACAAGCTGTATTATGTTTGGATGGTGAACCCGCCTCAAGATGGAGACCTCACTTTCAATCATGTGTTCCTTTCCATGACATTTTGACTTGTCAATTATTTTCAAAGCATACTCTGCTCCTGTTGACCTGACAAAAATGAAAATTTGTAAATTTTCAACACAGGTAACCCTCAATTTATGCCGGGGATGCATTCCTGGACGAACCGGCGTAAATTGAAACTCTTTTATAATGTAAATCAACGGGAAGTCAATGACATGCGTTCCTGGCACCCAAACATTGACGAGTAATATAATGGCATTACATTTAAAGCTCTGAAATAACGTAAATAAAATAAAGGGAATTTAAAAAATATATTTTGTACACTTACAATCAACAACTCGTTGGTCCCTGCTATTGATTGTGATTCTTTCGTGTGACTGATGTGTACAGTCATCTCTGCTGTTATGCGATAGCTGTATTCATGTAAGACACCAACTTATAGAATACCGCGTAGTAAAAATAACCCCGGTACCTCCGCAGAGATTAAATTAGCCCTTTAAAAGTTCAAAGCGCCAGGAATGAAATTGCATAAGAGCAAACTCGCATATGCAAACGTTTGCATTTCGCAAAAAGCTTTTACCGATTCATCGATCTCATTGGAGCAAATTCGTGTTATCGAAACATACGTAATTGCAGAGATGACTGTATTTATAAGTTTTATTCAAAATCAATTATTTAATTAATTACAACTCTCACCTGTCTATACATTGCCTCACAACAGCAAAGTTTCCATCTCCAATTACCTTTCCCACCTGATACTTGAGTCTAATTGATGGAGGTATAGCAGAGGTGTTTTCATGTGGTTCTTTCAAACCAGAATACTGAGAAGTCTTTGTCTTCACAGGCATCTTTGGCATGTTTGCTGGTATTCTCAAATCTGTAACACATATATACAGCTTAACTGTTGAAAAAATTTGCCCTAGGGAAATAACAGACAGTACGAGAGAGAACAGACATAATTAGTGCTGTGCTTCAATTCAACAATATTGACGGGCATGTGTAACGGCTGGCACTCCTGCTTTATATTCTGGATGTCATGGATTCAAATCTTGGCAGAGACCAGTAATTGTGAAAATGGAACAGAAAATTCATATTTTCATTTTCAGATCATACCAAACATACCTCAATATGTCAGACAGAAATGAGGGGTTAATAAAATTTATAGCATAAGTTCTTAAATCAATTTATAATTCTCTTTAGTTTGCAATGAATCAGATCAAATGGTAAAAATATTCTAAATATATTTATTCTTACCAACTCTTTCCTGAGAACCCATCAATCGTTGTCCAGACTTAGATGAAGTATTTGGCATCCATGGGATGTTACGGAAACTTTTACTGTGTAACTGAATTGCTTTATACTCTATAAAAGAAACATAATATTCAAAGAGATCAATGAAAATTTTAAAACTACCATTACGTGGACATCCAACATTCAACTTGGTCTCACACTTTGAGAAAGATAACTGGACCTAAAAGGGAGTGAGACTAGACATGGAGAAAATTGCATAATGATGAGCTTCACATCTTTGGACACCACTAATGTTGCAATTTCATATTAGTTTTGGTCCAGAATTATCAAATATGCTTTTGGCATAACAATTATGCAACAACAAAAACTAACAGAAAGTTTTAAACAAAACTGTATGACTCAAACTAAAGATACTGACAATCCTGAACGTATATCTATAACAAGTGTATTCAGACATTATAATTTTATACATGATACAAACTACCTGAACATGTTTTCAATATTTGCCATCATATAAACATGCATATTATCATGTATGATTTGAGGTTTTCACAGCGGTTAGTCTGAAGATGGCTGTCTTCTGGGTTGTTGCGCCGTGTAGTCTGGCAGCAATTTACCAGTGAATTTCTACCAAACTACATGGCACAGGAACCCAGAAGACAGCTATCTTCATGCATATTATCAACTCATATGTTACTGCCTCAATGCTCATTATAAAACATGTAAGATTCTTTACCTTCGACATCCAAATCAAAGTCTTCTCTGGAATACCTCTCATTTCCATATGCAAAAAACACATCTGCACTCCCAAAGAATTCTTCTAACTGTGTTACCTGCAACAACGGACAGTAACAACTATGCTCCATCATTTTTTCTTGCATTTTAATCTAGGCTTCAATTTATATTTATTTCATAAAAATATTTATTCCATATAGTTTATCAAACTCATCCTTTGTTATAAATATTCAAAATGCCATTTATTTTTTCTTTAGTGGTGCTTCAACTTTCATGGTTGCCAAAAATTTGAAATACATAACCAACCTTAGCCTGAGAGCTTAAAAAGTCCCTATATACATAATAATGCCAGTATTTTATTGAAATATCATAAATGTTTAACTGACAATTATCTGTCAATGATGGTTTTCTTGGTAGTAACATAATGTGGACTTGTAGGTAGATACCAACATTTCACAGGAACATGCTGCCTTCACCTTCAGTTCGGCAATGAAAATGAAGGCAGTATGTTCCATCATAATGCTGGTGTCTACCTACGAGTCCACAAAGAGAGAACCATAATCAACAGCTTCATTGCCATGAGAACCTTAAATCTCACAGAACAACTTCTTTCATCACCACCATCGAACTCTCAAAACAACTGAACAAATTTAGAGGTTCCATTATAGGTTGATTACCTGTGTAGATAGCACATAGTATTATATACACTGTATATAAGTAACAAAATAAGAATAGATAATAATAAGTTCAAGTTACAATCCAAATCTTCTTCAATTTTCTGCCTTCCCAAAAGAGTCATTATGTCTTAGTTTGAAGCTTGCAGTGGCACAATAAATATGAAACCATTATTTTACTTCTTTGGTAATCATAAAAAACTGCAATGAAGTCAGCATGCTAATCTTATGAAGTATTCAAATAAACCTGTTACAATAAATGGTGATAAACTCAATTCACCTGTGCACCAGACAAAGTGAAAACTTTCCGCACAGCTCCAGTGTCAAGCTTCACTGCTTCTGTGATGCTGGAGAATGCATGATCAAGGGAAGGAGCATTCCTCTTGTTGAGCAACAATCGTACAACCTTTCGTGGTCTTGTTCCATTCCTTATTAATGTGATTAATCGAGGACGGATGACATCAGATAAACTTGTACGAGATGTAGGCGAGTGAGTTGTTTCAGAAGGTTGATGCATTGATGGAAGTGATTTACGATGCTTCAGTTTTCCAGTTTGTGTCCTGCTGGCTGAGTAATCCACCCTCTTGAAAGATTCACCAAGACCCGAGCATACGTAACATTTACCGTCTTCCAATTCATCAAGACCACCCACTTTCTGACCATCCATTGTAAACAGCGTCCGTACACCACTGGGAAGATTCACATTTTCAACAAGAGCACGTGTCAGATCTGCTACTAGGCTGTCAAATGAACGATACCTTTCAGGAGTCACAGCCATCATTACTCCCTTATAAAACCGATCACCATTCCTGTAGAAGCGGATACGTTTAGCTTTCCGAGCTGGTGGTGTCCGTAATGCTGAACAATGACGAGATGTAAAATCCCCAAGGCGTCCATTAAGATTTTCATCTGCTGGTAAAGAGGATGAGAAGGTGGAAGCTGATGAGGCACTACGGCTACGTGGTTCTTCTCCAATCATTCTTGACATCTCACTAAAAAACAATAACATCAATCATGTTTCAATGATACTATCAAAAAAGGATAACTTGCATGTACCACACTGTGAGCAGGAACAGCTGGCAATACTTCAGGGCACAGTACTTAGATTTAACTGCCAACTTTCAACAAAAAGCAAGAATCTTAAATAAAATGTGAGAAAAAGTTCTGTATGGTTCTGAAACGTGATCACAGCAGTATTGTGCATTTAAAATCTGCTCAAATTATACTGGGTAGGATTTGAGGTTTTCACAGCGATGAGTCTGAAGATTGCTGTCTTCTGGGGTTTTGCGCCATGCAGTCTGGTAGATTTCCACCAACGATTCAGAGGTCATACTGCACTCTGATGACGGAGGCAATACGACCTCTGATCCATCACATTGGTATTAATAAGTGTAGAAAATTAAAACATATGCTCCTGCAATATCTTGTATCTATCACATTTTATACCTGGAAACCTTACGATTTCAGTTGAGGTTTAAGGGCAGTAGCAGATTTACAACTGTGAAGAAAGCAGCAGACAAAATAATCAATTTTTCTTTTCTGCACCTTTGTAGTGAAGAACATAAACTAACCTCTTGTAACTAGCAACAAATTAACAAATAATTTAATGGGTCTGCCCACAAGTGGTCTCGTGACGGATGTGCCCCTCAGGCTGCTAGTTTCTTCCACGCTAAGTTAAAGAAATGCAGTTTCGCTTACTCTCCACGATTTCATTAATTTCTTTCTGTGGTCCTTGACAATGAATAGCCATGAAAGTGTTACCGACCCCTAATAGAGAGAACCCTATAGAACAAATTTGGTTTTTTGGTAGGGTAATTGACATAAACCACTGCCTAATTTGCTGTTAATATTTCAATAGTGCTGCACCTATCGGTCATAACACTCAATATATAATATCATTCAAACTCACACGAAATCTGTATTTATCACAAACGGCAATAATCTGATAACCTTTGTATGATTCCCATTTGCAGGCTTAAATTAGCAAGCCTGTTATATTGCACATTGTTCACACGTACACACCTACAAACTCTGCATTAAAACATCACAACATTATTGTCAAACTTTCAGTAAATACAGTAAACATCACACCCATTATACAGAAATCATACCAATTCTGCAACCCTGATTTATTACGATCATACTTTGAAGTTAACACATCTGTGGCTCTCCCGTCGAAAAAGGACAAAGTTACATCCCTGTGACATTCTTTGATACGGGGATCCATAATTTACTATGTTGGTAATCGGTGATTGTGGATCTATGTAGCAAATGTTGTAGAACAAACAGTATTTTGAGGTTATAGACATGACATTTATAATATCAATATTAAAGTTAAAAGAAAACTGAAGAAATATACTGTAAAGTTTCAGAATGCTTCATCTGAGGTTAGGTGTAAAAAATAAATTCACAAAAAAGGTTGTTTGTTAAAGGTATCTTACAGACATGTATTTAAGAAATTTATTATATTTTCCGTTACCAGCGAATTCATACTGTCATTATTGTTATTCTTTGTGGACAACATGGAAGAGTTTCAAAACGAATTTAGAAATAAACAGTAAACACAAGACATAAATGACTATCATGCTAAACCTACAGCTGACTGTTCTAATTACCAAGGAATGATGTCGTTATCAACTATTTGAAATTTTATCAAACATTTTTATATCAACAAACTTCATACATAGACGGAATTATTGGGGTATTATCATTATGGATTTCGATATATCTATTGATCGGATATTCTGCAGTCATCAGATACCGGAAAATGTGGGAGTATAATGGCACTGTACATTATTTGTTAATAAACTTCAAGAAATCCTATAATTCAGTTAGGAGGTAAGTATTATATAACATTGTCATTGAATTTGGCATACCAGTAAAATTAGTTATGTTAATTAAAATGTGTTTAAATGAAACCAATAGTAATGTTTGCAATCCTGGCCAAGGTTGATGGATTTTTAAGGGTGATAAAAATCTGTAGCACAACTTCCTTTGGAGGGGAAGTAAAGCCCGCTGTCCCATGCCATAGATTTATGGCATGTAAAAGAACCTTACGGGCATGATACGAGATGTTTCGTAAGTAAAATTTCTCACCCAAGTCTCCTGATTAACTGCTAAATGGCTCTGGCAGTGAATCAGGATTGAGCAGAAATTGTGCAGCTAGTGGGCTGGTCACTCACTACTCATAAATGCACACTTCAAGACCAAGAAACCTCCGAAAAAGTAGGTGGCAAAAACCCACAACTGGGTTGTAGAGCCAAGAAACAACAACCCCAAGGTAACTTGGTTGTAGATCCAAGGAGGGCTGCATTTGTCAATATTCCTTCCATGAGCAACAGTCATGATGGAGAATCAGTTGTACCAGGGGGAAATTCTCTAGTCACTCGATTTGGACTGTTGTCTTATGTTAACCATGAACTAATAGAACTACAATCTCGTTGCTTGTATGACATATAACACTGAAAACCAGAAATACCATTGTGTACATTTCCTAACTTGTTTTGAAATTGTCAATTTTCTGTCTTAACAGGCCATTTTCATGTATATAAAAATTATATACATGAATATTACCAACACTGGCCATTTTCTTAATTATTAGGCAGTGTTATTCAGTATGGAACTTATAAAAATGTATTCTGAATTCTGATGTAGACCATTTGTATAAAGTATGTATTAGCTTTTCACATTTCTGAAAGCATTTTTGTACTCAGAGTCTGCAGCAGTTGCAGTGGAGAATGGTGATAAGTGGAAGTCTGTGATGGATAGTGGTGGATGTGGTTTGCCCAGAACACTCAACATTATAAAAAATATGATTCTGTAGCATTTATTACTGGCACTGAAATAAAATCATGGAACCTTTTTTTCTTTTAGTACAAAGACTGTTTATAATATAAAGTAGTAACTTCAGTGGAGATAAGCTACTGAATACAGAATAGGATTATTTGTACTGATTCATTATTTCATGAACAACAAAACTCCATGCATTACAGTTTCTTACATAATATTCTGTGGAACATGGCAGTCACAATCAAAGCTTAAACACCAAGAAAAATATATATTTCAGAATACACAAACTGCTTTACTTGTACTGCGAATGTTCATGTTAAAAATGTAATGTATCAACAAACTACTTAAAAATTACGACTGTTGTTTCTAAGTATGGAACTAAGAAATGGATTACATATTGCAACTCAAGGAAAAATAATCTGCCAGAACTAAAATGTTGTATATTTCTCATAAGTTCTAGCGCATCTAAAGGTCTGAACAAATGCTGGCATGTCAGCCATCCCTCTATCTCTCTCTCTTCACTTGTAAGAATTTACTCGGACACTGAAACAAAACAATATTTTTAGTAAGTGAGCACACATTAATGTACTACAAACAATGGTATAATTAATATATCAGAAATGACAAACTTGAAATTCTTTGTAAAGATGGCTTTACAGTATGAAACAACAACATAAAAGTAAGATTTTATGTTCTCATGGCTGTCTTCTGGGTTACAGCGCCATATAGGCTGCTAAAAGTTCACCAACATTTCAGATGTCCTTGCTTCTCCATCACTGCCCTGATGACAGTGGCAGCAAGGACCTCTGAAATGTTGGTAAACTTCTAGCAGACTACATGGCGCTACAACCCAATATACAGCATTCGTTGGTAACAAAAGTTCAGTTTAACCTCTACTGTACCCTTTCAAATCACCAGTGTACAATTCAACTAGACTGAGTTCTACTAAGAGATGCCTAAGCTAGCTAGCTACTTCAAATTTTCATTATATTCAGATTCATTAAGTGAATGACAGCTGTTGGGAAGTAAAGGACAATACATTTAGTCACCATTTAAAGGAAAGGTAAAGTATTCATGAAAATGTCCTAATATCAGACAAAACTGTCACCCTTTGAGGTAGGTGACAGCACATGATTCAGGTTATAGTGAGGAATAGGAAGGGAACATTTTATGTTGTCATTCAGAGTTAATACTCTGTACTCTGCTTACAGACAGTTACCAACAAGCACATCCATATTAAATCAGTAATTTTGAAAATCTTTACCTTTCCTTCAACAGGCTGCATTGCTCATTTTCCTTAATAGTTGCCTGAATCTGCACCACTCTGACAGCTGAAAACACGACAAAATTAAGTACATTAATAAAATCCATTTGAAGAAGCATACTGAAAAAGTAGTACAATCCTCCAATATTCTTACAGGTCAATGGAGAATATAAACAGTTCTTCAGTGCATTTATGTGAAATACTGCTTTGTTGCTCTCCTTGTGATAACTGGGTGAATAATGGCTAATGCACATTTTTTGTGGTTGGAGTAGAATGGCTTGTATAAAATCAGTTAAATAAAAAAGCAGTTTCACTTTACTCCCTCTCCATACTCTCAGCTTCTCTTATTTACCTTTGAAAGATGCATAAAGAAAAATGTACTATTGATGAGTAAGACACATTGAGATAGCAGGATCACTAGTACTAAACTGCTTTATAACAAAGGTGTATGCATCAAAATCACTTATTTACTTAAATCAGGCAGTCATAAGGGAACAAGATTTTCTTGCATTTATTGCAATATTATTCCAGTAATAGCTTAGCCAGTATTTTGAAAATATAAGGGCTGAGCAGCCACTGTTTAAATCGCAGTTTCTCTCCACCATTATATCCAGGACAAATTCAGACTGTATTCACAGGGTACTGGGGGTTCTTTCCCTTATGGTATCAGTAGTGTTTATAATGGTTTTTCTAACACAGGTTTTAATGTAAATGCATAAACACATCAAACTACTGTTTCATAAAAACACTAAAGTATGCTAGCTACTCCATGAATGATTCATGGTGAAATATATATGGTACATAAAAGCTCATATGAATGACATGAAATAATGCCTATGACAAAACATATTATATAATAATTATATTGCAGTCTATGTTACATGAAACAATTTATATCACTGTGACTAGTATCAGAAACATGATATATTTACAGTTTAATGTGTGTCAATCATTAAAACATCTAAAAGACAAATATGATTAAATCATCCAACATTATTGTTGTAATAATGGAAGGATCCTGTTCATATGGACCTGTCGCCAGACAGAAAACACACACAAAAGAGCGAGAGAGAGAGATATTCAAAATACATTCTAGGTGTACCATCGGCAAATGGACATTAAAATTTTTAAAACAGGTCACATGAAGCATCTTTTGTACTCTGGTGACCAAAAAGATCAATTACTGAATTGAGGGTAATAAAGTCTGCAGTTCCATCAGATTTCCTTTAAAAGCATTGATTATTTCACTGTAAAAGAGACAACAGTGCTAATGGCTTCACCCCGCTGCTTGTTGTGACTTAACAGCGAAGTAATCATATAGTGTTTTTTCCCCATATACTGTCCAATTTCTATGGCCCCAGCCCCATTGCCCCATGGCTCCAGGCTGGGATTTTATTAAAATTTTAATTTTTTCTAGTTATCCCAGACACATTGCAATCTCAGGATACTTATGACACACTAATTAGGAAAAAATGAAGAGAATTATCATAACCTCACTCCATCAGTTTCAAACATTAGAATTAACACCATTATTCTCACAACACATCCATTCTGACCATATGTGATAAGGGAAATGTATGACTGTTGAATGTTATCCACATGCAGCAAGCTGGAGCTGTCCTTGAAGCATGCAGCCATCTTTGTAGGATGATTAGTGATTCCTTGTTACTCAATTAAAGAACAACAAAATCACTAGTCTTCCACACAACCATGGCCAGGGTTAGTTACTTGCAAGTCTTCTTCAAATTAGTTACAGTTCTGTACTACCCCAACAATACTTACATCCTAAACTGGCCATGGGGCATATCAACTACTATCTCCTGAAGACCAATTATATATTGTTGCTATATGACACCCCACCAGGTCCAACTTATTTTAATTCTAAATGGGATCAGGATGGGATAGCTCAGTCAGAATACTAACTAGTCTATGGACTGGATGACTGGGGTTTGATTCTTGGCAGGACAGGAATGTTAATATTCTCTTTCCCCATAGGATCTATACCAGCTCTAGGACCCACCCAGCCTTCTATCCAATGGCTACCGGGGTTTTTTCCTCCATCCAGAGCTGAGGATAATATTGCATGAAGCTATACCTACATTCCCCCATACATCTGGCATGCATGGTGCTAAATTAAGCATCAGAGATAATTTTATCTTCTTCTTCAAAATTACTGCTCTGCACTGTGAGTGGAAGTTGGGCTGTTTTATGGAGGACTCCTTCAGATATATTCAAGCCACCAGACAAAATTGTAAAACTTCAATGACAGGTGAATTCCTGAATTTTGGACAAGTCTAAGACATGACCTGAAGGTGTTTGCAACACTACAGCAGCAAAACTTTTATTAAATATTAACAGAAGAAGGATATTACCTTACTACAAATGTTTCCATTTTATATTCAAACAGTTATTGCTACAGCACCAACAATATCAAAGACAACCAGACCCTTTCAAACATGTTTTGGACTGGGTTTTCAAGTTTCTTAGAATTGTGTTTTTATTATCACATAACTTCTTTGAGCATTTTTAAGAGATATGTTGACAATTCTCTAAATAACCCTTTCAGTATGTCTCCAAAACACTTCAAAAGCATAAAATGCCATTGGATTTTCACTACATTCTTTTAAAATTTTGTTCTGAAATGTTAAGGAAAGTAAAATGACTTTTCACTGCTGCTGGGCAAGTTTTGTGCCTATACAGCTAAGAGGCAATACAAAATGGTAGACATGACAGATACAAGGTATATGGATGATAAACTGATGATTATCTTCAGCAAATTCTTTACCTCCAGTCTAACCAATTTTGACACTGTATGGGTTAAGGAGAATTAGAATAAACAAAGGCTTTGCATAACTGGGAAAATGATTTTCTATATTCTGTGCACACAGCTGTTGCTAATGCTAAGCTTTACAGTACCATCACCACCCTTCGACCACCAAGATGAGTACAGAATCCATGATATCCCAAGATACATCTAATAGATCTTTACAAACCACATACCTTTCAACCACACTAGAACAAAGCCAACACCAAGTATATACTCATACACATGCATTACATGCCCCAGGCTTGTTTTGAGCCAGTTCTTACAAATGTTGCCTCAAAAGAGATGAATGTTAACTTGTCCCTAAAATGAGGCTGCTATTACAGAAAAGATCTTACCCATAAATACATTACACCCACACATATAGAAACACACTTGCTGTAAAATTATATACAGATTGGAATCAAAGCTAATGCAAAAGAAACTTTTTCAAACAGCACCATATATCAGGAAATGACTAGTGTAAAAAGCTCACTAAAATTCAAAGGGGATCAACTCCTTTCATATATTCATTTCACACCCTCTTTCTGTTGTCCTTTCATAACAATATCTCCTTCCTTCCAGTATTTATTCAACTGCATGAAAAGATAATTCCTGTCTGAAGAAAGCATTTACCACACCTTGAAACTACTCTCCTGCCAAATGCTACACCAAAAACTGTCCCCTAATAACTTTTGAATATTCTGACATTTTCTACTTGTGTGTATACAGACACAGCAATTTTAATAGGTGATGCAGAGATGCAAACAAGCCTAAAACTTATGACTCCATATTAGCACCATATCACAGTAAAGTGACCAAGTTGTTCTTGTGAGAAGGTTCTACTAAATCACTACCCCCCCCCTCCCCTCCTTAACAACTGTCGTAACATTTGTATCTGCCCTGCAGGAAAGTATTTACTGAATATGCACAACACCAAAAATGAACCAGTTCTCAGTTCTTTAAAACAGTCCAGCCTGACTAAGATTTCTTTTTCAATATTTCCAACTACATTTCCACTCGCTTCATTCCATACCCAAACAATTAATTTCCATCTTGTAATCAGATCAATCAATGAAGAAATTACAATCTGTAGTTGGTTACAAGGAACCAATAATTAAGGTACAGCAGTATTGTTGCAACTGGTACACATATCAGCTACCTTGTCACTTGCACAGCAGTTTCACAATGCATCATCGTAACTACAAACTTTACAGCAAGTTTAATACAAAAATTTAATAACAAAGAATCTTTAGCACTAGACCTAGAGATCACATTCGCCAGTCAAAGTAATAAGAAATAAAACACACACATACCACTACGTCTGAGTACATGCTTACCTCTGCTGAAGGAGATACTGAGCCATCTGTATCTGATTTGGTGAACCAGTTATTGTGATTATACGATCATTAGACCCAGGTAAAGGTTCATCAATTGTGATTCCTGCTCCAGAATCAGATCGTATCTTGCGTATTCTTGCGCCGCCTTTCCCAATGATGGCACCTGCCAACTGAAGAATGAAAGATACTTGAAAATGTGTCTGTGTAGTGGCTGCCTGAACATAATACTGATAAGGCAATATAAAGAACCTGACTAGTTCACTCCTCCTTAACTAACTCACATGTCCCTTTAATCCCTACTAACCATTAGTAGACTAATCATTTTCATGATGTATTTAACCCCTTTGGAGGCAAAATTTATGCCACTGCATCATCAGGAAAGTAAAGCCGTCCTGCTACACGCCATATAGGCCATTTGGGGGGTGTGGAGGTATAGCTCATAGTCTTTCTTGACCTCGGCACTACATGGAAGTGAGTGGTTAGAACCCATTGGATAGACTGGGTGGGCCCCAGAGCCGGTCTGGACACAGAGGATACAGGAAAAATCCTCTGCCCCCGCCGGGGATCGAACCCCAGTTGTACAGCCCGTAGCTGGTCGCTGTACTGACTGAGCTATCCCGGCTCATACTGCATCATCAGATGGAGCTTCTTTGTTTTATTAAAAATAATGGTGAATTTTTGACATATTATGGACAATACATATTTATTGTGTATGGAAATCAAAATTTTCATGTTGTTTAAATTTTTAGGTATTTTTCAAACAATTTCACCACATTTTCTAAACATTTATAATTTGTTTTCCCCAGCTACTTCCATTGGATTTAGTCGAGTAATTCACGATAAATTCTTTTTAATGTCTTGCGGGACCTACTGTTCACACAGTTCAAGAAACAGTTTGCAATTCCATCAAATTAGTCAAGAGAAAATTTACACCAAAAACTACTGTTCTCCCCTGCCATCCAAATCTCAAGAGTAAGAGCGCATATGACTTAGAGCAGCACCAGAGTTTGAAAAAATTTCATTAGATGGCAGAACATTCAATTGAGGCATGACAGAAATAGCATGCATATATGAGCTTAGCCTACTGAGAAACTATTTTTTCTGAAGCGTGCACATATGAGCACTCCCCACTATGTGGGCATTAACCATCCACACATATATGCACTTAGCCCACTTAAGGGGTTAATTGACTGCAGCCACATTACAGGCAATATTAGATTTGTGTCAATCTTAATTTACTGACAATTATGACATGAGACTTCTATTAAGTTGATGACTGTCCACTATTTTTCATCCTACATCTAATAAGACATTTATAATTCCACAATAAACAAAAACATTTCAGTTGAAACAAGATACTGTAGTGGAATTACTTTTAACCAAGTTTGATTTGTGAACAAGGTGCCTTGCAAGTATTAATATAAATCTGGCCATGCTCCATGAACTTTACTTTCACACATAAGCATTCTTTTAAAATGGTATTCAGATAACAGAGCATAGAAATGAACTGCCAATTAAAGTGTGTACATCCAACAACAGAATTATGAATACGCACATCTTTGGGGATTGTGACTTGGGTTGACCCCTTTCCTCCTCCAAGCATTGGCCCTTGTCCACCACTGCTTCCACCACCCATACTCATTGGTGAATTGTTAATTATTCCATTGGATGAATTTCCTGAAACAATCATAATTTAGGTTTCAAACATCATGTCAGCCAGTTCTAATTCAAACTTAGCTCTCCAAACAATTTAGGCACACCAGAATCAATGGGTAACAAGTTCATACAGCATGTCTGCAAGTCCAATTATGTTCATTTTCATGTTTCAACACATTGTAGTGCAGTGCTTCAAAATGTTGATCCAACATACTTCCTACTTCACAGAAACAGACAAAATTCTCATCTAGAAAAGATGCCATCCATAAGGTATTACACAGAGGATCTTCTGTAAATACTATTCCACATTTTTAAAAAGTCTGATAATTCTTCCATAGCTGTAAAAATTAATTTTTGTTCTTACTCTGCTTTGAACAGCCCACTCATCGCTTTCATCTCATTCTGCAGGACACATGAATGATGTCAGGAATGGATTTTAATCCTTTCCCTGCCAGCAAACTGACTGAGCCAATAAGTCAAGTTTTTCTGTTCTTCATTCCACAGCGTTTGAAACTTGAAGTAAACAATTACTTCTACCTTGCATACACTTACTAGCTATGCTACTACTAGTTGTGAAAATAAATTCTGTAATGTGTATCTGATCTACCTTCCCACTTCAATTTGTAAGACAACTTCAGATAATTTAATGGAAAAGTAATTATAACCATCACATAAATTAAAAATTACGATTAATAATAAAATTATGTTTCTAATATGAGTTACCATTTTTGTTGGTTAAGCACATGAAATTTCAAAATGTCTGGCTCTGGAGAACATAACATTTATACCCAGACAATTAGGGCTGTGATTTGTGAAGCACAAGACATTAATCTAAGAAATGATAAATTGCAACAGTGTGAAATAAATCTATCTTCTGTTTAAAAAACAAAGTAATCACCGATTACATCAAACTGTCATTTTGAGAAATACCACAACATGAATGATGATAAGACATAAAAGGATTAGGATTAAATATGGCAATGATGTCCTAATTCCAACACTCTTTGGGTAATTTGTGCATTTGTCTCCAGTAACAGTGAAAGAGTTAAAATAAGGGTACAAACAGAAAATCCTCTTAACAATACAAACATAAAAGATGCTTAGACACATGAACTACAAATGGAGAACTATTCTTGTGGAGGATCAAATATGAAGTCATATTAAGCTGATTTTCCTAAACCCCAATTAACTTACTGGAATGTCCAGTAATTTTTTTAAGGCTAGAATCTTTTACCTCTGTTTCCTCCAAAGCCGCCACGACCACCACCAAAGCCGCCACCACCTCGCACAGGACCCATTCCTCCAGGAGGACCTCTGTAAGAGAACTGTCTTTTTAGTTGCGGCCACAAACACTTTTACTTTATAAGATACAAACAACCTCAGATGTGCCTGTGTATCAAAATAATTTCAATAAAAAGTTCATAAATTCAATGGTAGTGTTCAAACATTGTTAATAATTCTACCAAAAGATAGATAGATAGATAGACAGATAGATAGATAGATAGATAGATAGAGAGAGAGAGAAGAAAATTTATCACTGCATGCACTTTGTGGACACCACATCCTATATCCAAAAAATAGTTCACATGAACTGTGCTCTTTTTCTAGTGAGTATAATTCACTCTCCCAACTGAAAAAAGTAAAGGCCAACGAATGTTTCCGGCAGTATTTCTTTGGATTAAAAAATCTGGGGGCAATATTCTGACATGTTTATTCTTAATGAATTTCACAGAAAAGCATCTAGTGTCATACTGCATATTATATATGCAGAGTGAAAAATGGACCAGTAAATACTTCCTCTCTCCCTCTGAATATAAAGTATAAAGAAAAATGAAATCATTTATTTGGGAACTGCATAGTTGAGTTACAAATTACACAACTAAGCAGAAATTAGAAATTAAATGTTTTCTTACCCCATTCCTCCACGAGGACCACCACGAGGCCCAGGGCCCATATTTCCACCAACACCTGGCCCAAATCGTCCCCCTCGGCCCATTGGGGGTGGTCCACCCATACCACCATACATTCCACCTCCTGGGCCACCACGGCCTCCCTTGCTATCTTGATCCCCAAAGCCGCCATATTCTTGAGCATGAAAATCGTCGTAATTATGTGGATCATAAGGGTTATTCATACCCTTGATTGGAGACTGTAGGAGAAAAAGTTCATAAAACTTTGCATATATATCTCACTCAGATTTTAAATTAACACACTTACCATCACTTAAATGTAAATTTAAATGGGAATTACTATCTAAGAAATTTTTTATGCCTTAACATTGAAATTACATCCTTTAAATCAAACAAAAGCAAGTCACTAGAAGACAGGCAAATATTCATTACCAAACCCATCATTCATGCTCATTCTGTGTAAAATTTCACTTCGTAAGAGTGTAACAAAATAGGCATTCACTTCAGCAGTCATCTTACAAATTCAACTATCTGCTATGTATAGAGTTTTGTTCTGAATAAAACAAAAAGTTCTAGTAACTTTCAGAGTAAAATCAATACAAAAATAACTGTTTAAATTCTTCCATTATGCCCTCTAAGAATTAAACCACAATCTAATGAGAAATCAGTATCAGCAAAACTGAAAATAAAAACAGAAAGCATGTATGAACATTAGGCCATGTGGTTGGCAACAGTAACAAGAATGAAGCATGCATGTCCTACATTGCAAGTGGCTGTTGAAATTAAATTTTCTCATCAACAAACTTCAGTAAATCTTCAAAAAGTCAAGATTACTGAAGAAAAGGCAGTATCAACATTTTTGTTAAAGAAAATATTAATACCAGTATGTAAACCTGTTTGCAATAATAGGCCTAATTTAATAGCATTTTTAATACAATGCCATGGTGCTTCAATCAACTGTCTTCATTTATGGCTCTGGTAAGGAAAGGTGAACGTGGTCCCCAGTCTGTGAAAGGTTTGGAATCACTGTGTCAGACTGCAAATCAAAATAAACTGATCACCACAATACTATAATGCAACAAATACTCACAGTTTTAATGAGTTCCATTATCTCCCGTACAGAATCTGTGCACGTGTTAGGCCGTCCTGAGATCTGACAAACTCTTTCAGTGCTCTGGGGACAGCAGTTTGAGAATATTTTGATTCGAGCTCCAGTTTTCTGTGAACAAATAATTTACACACTAGCTTCTTAGCTAACTTCTCATACAAACTGAGTAAATAAAAGTACAAAAATTAAAATACCATGGAGACATATGTATGGCTAGAACTAATACATATTTTCATGTTCTTCAAATTTGGTGGAGTGAAGGCCAAAGGGTTGTAACAACAGTTTAATGTGAGTTATGAAACCAAGGGAGGATATAGTACTCCCAACATTCCCTAGTAATCAGAAGGGATTAGCACTGTGATCTTTACATACTACGACATTATCTTTAGCACTTAATTTTAAACAGAAGAAAGTTATGCCATCTATCATTCCAAGCATTCTTTTCTTATTTGTTAATAATAAAAATCCTTCTAAATATTATGCCAAACTGTCCTCATTTTACAAGCACATTCTTCTTTTTCTGAAACAGTATGTTGCCTGCAATGCAAGCAACTCTATCAAACATTTATGAAACGTCTAATAGTAATACTAAATTACACTTACCTCACGGAGCTCTTTTATCTTGAAACCAGACTTGCCAATGATGCATCCCGCCTGACTCTGATGCACCAAAAGACGAAGATCCACATCGTCACCTCCACCACGAGATCCTGACCTTCCAGATGCCTTTAAAGTAATGAAAAACAATAAAATTAAGGGTCCATGATGAAAGTGAAATCCCAGAGTTTGACCAATCACTGTAAAATTGGTATTTATTGTTTTTGTTGCTGCTATATATAAAATTACAATCAGAGGAAGAGAACATCTGGAGGAAGGGGAGGTAAGAGACACTTGTACTTTCTCAGAGGCAGCATAGGAGAGTGATTCAATACAATCGCAAATATTGCCATGAAAATAAGCATTCTCTTTGTAAGCTGGTAATCCTGTATTAACTGCTGAGAAGTATAGTAATGATTGTGTAATAATCAAAAGAAAATGGAAAATCATGCTTTATATTTGTTACTGCAATGTGCACTGCCACAGCAACCTCAGAAGACAATACTAATCCCCCTCCACCTCTATTCATGCATATGATATCAGTTTGTACATTCTTGAATTAACTATGTTACTTATTTAATCATAAGAACTTACATCATCCACGTTTGGAATGATTTCATTCACCACTTGAAGGACTGTGTCCAAATCTGAAGATATGGTCAGTATGCTGTAAAACATAAAAATGTGTGTGAAAGACAGTATTGTTAAATTCAGTACCAAACAAAATGAAAAAGGTTTTCATAAAAACTGCAGATCAAATAATAATATAAGAAACAAAATAATTAACAATTCATTGAACAGAAATTCATTTGCATGGGAACTTGGAGAAAAACAACTCTGGAAAAGAAAGTCACCACCTGACGCATAACAACATTCACAGTAGCTGCCAGACACTCTTAATTAACACATTCACTTCCAAAGACAGACACTATCTGTGCATATGTGGACAATAATGCCCTGTGACACAGCTAATCATCAAATTACTGTTCTGCATAACAAGTCATCAATTATAATCATCATGAATTATAAATAATTTTCTGTGTACATTTGGTAGCAACTTTTTGTTTTTTTAAATAAAAAATGTATACATCTGTTTGGCTATAACAACTCATCCCACAGGTCTAAATTTGCATTTTAATGCCTGGCAGTGAATGTGTTAGTACATTATGGCAGAATGCATACATAATTTCCAAACACGACTGGGATACCAGCATACAGAAGGGACTTTTCTGTAAAAATGTGATCAATTCAGAGTTAGGATTCTTTGAGTAAATAGTTTAATAAGAGTTAATACCAAAAAATTAATATTGTATTTTTAACACGCTTGAAATAAATCATAACAAACCTAACAAAAGTACCAATTATGTCTTGCAACAGGAAAACACATAACACACACGTGCTCATATACTATTCCGACACTGTAACACAGAAATTAGTTTATCAAAGAACTCTAGAATATTGTATGGTGGTAAATCAAGATCTGCTTGTCTCCTGCATCAGTTAAAAATCAATTATTTTGAAAATGTAAGC